TTCAATTTTTGTAGAATATTGAAAATATCTTTTGCCGCGTAACCACAGTGGTGCAACGCGATAACCGCTACTCTATCTTCTTTCTTCGACCACTCCATATTTGAAAATGAATGAAAATTAATGTGTTTTTGTTTTCGCCAAGCGCAAATGTAAAATTTTCAAAATTGGTGAAGTTCAACTAAAACTTTTAAATAATACGGTTTTGACAGAACTTATGACCCGACTGCGTATATATATATATATATATATATTTATAGGAACTTCGTTCCATCCGGGTGTCCCTTGACACCCCTCATGTTTTTTAAGTAATTAAGTAGGCAAAGCTTTATTTATTATTATTTATTATTTATACATAAACACACTAGCAGCTAAAAAGCTGATGCGTGTGCGTCTTAATTTTTGGAGATTTTACCCAATCTGTTCTTGAAGGCATTCAATGTAGGAGCATCAATCACATTTTGTGGTAGCTTATTCCACTTGGTGACAACACGATTTGTTATAAAATTCTTCATAGGATTCCGCTTGGCAGTCCTATGGCATAGTTTAAGTTGATGTCCTCTCAGACGTTTGTTGCTATTTAGTAAGTACAAATTTGGCAGAGTAGGAACATTGTAATATCCTGTCAGTATTTTGTACGTTTCAATCAGACTACCTCTCTGCCTACGGCTCTCTAGTGTTGTGAGGTTAAGCTTTCTCATTCGCTGCTCATATGTCATGTTCCGCAGTTGTTTTACCATTTTTGTGGCCCTCCTTTGAACATTTTCCAGTATTATTATATCTTTACGAAAATACGGATCCCATATCACATATGCAAACTCCAAAAGAGGTCTTAAGTACGTTCGGTAGATCTTGTTAAATATTTTAGGAGTTAGACACATAAAGCTTCTTCGAATCATATACATCATGGAGTTTGCCTTTTTTACTATTATAAGGATATGAGTTTCCCATTTGAGGTCACTGGTTATTGTAATACAAAGGTCTTTTTGTGATTCAACAGAAGACAATGGGTGATCACCTAGATAATATGTATTTCGTGGATTATTTTTCCCTATATGTAGAACCGTACACTTGTCTGCGTTCAGTGTTAGGAGCCAATCACTAGTCCAATCGCAGATGGCATTTAGATCCTGTTATATAACTTGTCCATGTTCATCTTAAGACCTATCCGTTGGGAGGCACTATTGAGGTCATTGAGCATAGTGCTTAAGTCCTCCAGCGATTCTGCCATAAGGACTATATCGTCGGCAAATCGAAGGTGAGTGATGTACTCGCCATTGATGTTAATACCGTATCCTTTCCAGTCTTAAGATGAACATGGACAAAACAAAGATTATGTTTAATGTCCATGTCACACCTATGCCGGTAGTTGTTGGGAGCACTATGCTCGAAGTTGTTGACGAGTACGTTTACCTGGGACAAATAGTCCGACTAGGTAAGTCCAACTTCGACCGAGAGGTCAATCGACGGATTCAACTCGGCTGGGCAGCGTTCGGGAAATTACGACATATCTTCTCGTCAGGTATACCTCAATCTCTGAAAACTAAAGTGTACAACCAGTGCGTGTTGCCAGTGATGACTTACGGATCAGAGACGTGGTCCTTCACTGCTGGCCGTATGAGGACGCTCAAGGTCGCTCAGCGAGCTATGGAGAGGGCTATGCTCGGAGTTTCTCTGCGTGATAGACTCAGAAATGAGGATATCCGCAGTAAAACCAGATTGACCGACATAGCCCAACGGATTAGTAAGCTGAAGTGGCAATGGGCCGGCCATATAGTTCGAAGAACCGATAACCGATGGGGAAGAAAGGTTCTCGAGTGGCAGCCTCGTACCGGTAGGCGTAGTGTAGGGCGACCCCCCACTAGATGGAGTGACGACCTGGTAAGATATGCAGGAAGTCGATGGATGCAGGTGGCTCAGGACCGTGCTTTGTGGCATTACTTGGGGGAGGCCTATGTTCAGCAGTGGACTTGTGAAGGGCTGTGATGATGATGATGATGATGATGATATAACTTGATGTTGCGTAATAGGGTCTCCAAAAAATTTCGTGTCGTCGACAAATAATGAGAACGGTAGCTGTAACGTGCTCTTCAAATCCGATAAATATAGGATAAATAATATGGTGCAAGAACAGATCCCTGCGGAACTCCGCTGAGTACTTCCCTGGATTTAGACAAACTCTTACGCAGAATGTTCTGTCTGATAGAAAATCACTGATCAAGGCCAACAATTTCCCGCGTACACCAAAGTGTTTTAATTTGCATATAAGTCGCCGTAATGGTACACGGTCAAAAGCTTTTTCATAGTCAAGATATATATTTAAGTAGTTTAAGGTAATCATGGTCATTAGATATTCCATGCAAAAAAGCCACTTCAAACACACCGCTTATACAAAAGGAAGTTTTCTCTGAAGAGCAATAGTTTATTACAGTGTTCCTAGCATAATCATCCGTTGTACAGTGCCACAAGTGTTATCAGGACGTGGATCAAAACACATATTACGTTTTCGTTTTGTGACATACAATGTCACAAAACAAAATCCATTATACTGCTATACAAACTGTCTGAAGGCCACTCAACAATATACGCCAAATCATTTTGTATTATTTCATCTTCTATGTTTCTATTAAAATTATTTTTATCGTAGTCCTTAAGTCTGTAAAAAGAAAACATTGCTGTAAACTTGGTAAATTAGCATAATTTTGACAAAAAATGTATTTGTAAATAGTAAACAAACTAACCTCTGAATTAACTGTTCTTTCAACCCACTTAATTTTGCACCTCTTTTTCTTAGCTCCGCTTTTAAAGCACTGACATTCATTGACCCGTAACTCATATTGGCCATAATTAATCTCAGGAATTGCAATATATTCACAATATTATTCTAAAAGAAATAAACATGCGTAGCCCACCTACTATTAACAGGGACATTTGACATTTCGGAGACCTCACTCTATACTAACGGTAGCGTAGACAGAGAAACCTATAGACAAATTGACGCCTTCTTTCGCATTCGCACACGAGAAAGATAGATTTATGCATACGTCTTGCATAGAAATGAGACAGAGCGGTGTGATTGTTTGTCTCTTTCTCCGAACCGCTTTTTTGTTTAGCAAACTACACTTTGCTAAACAACTTTGACAGTTCGTAGCGATCTAAGGAGTTTACAAGTTGGTTTAAGTGAGAAAAAAAGTGTTTTGTGAGCTTAAGATTGGCGAATCTTGTTCAGTTCAGTTCTTAGAACAATTAAAATTTTTATCTAAATATGTTTAAAAGTCATAAAGATTATTGTATAACCTAAAACTACGTTATCGTCCTTTTTCACTCGAGGCCACGCTAATCATTAGTCTATAGGTTTCTCTGTCTACGAGCAGTAGCGTCTCTAGCGGCGAATTCTGCGTTTCGTTCATTGCGTTTAGTTTATGCTTATATTACGTTTATTTATATAAATCTTTTATTGGTATTATTAACTAATCCCAAGTTCTAAAAATATAAAACTTACATGAAAATTAATGGCTTAGTTGCCTTAAAGGGGAAATATAATCTCAAATTGAAAATATTGCAGCATTAATTTTGAAATAAATATATGGTAAAGTTGATTGATTAATGTTAAGGACTATTTTTTTTTTATTTTTTGTTGGTGCCACGACTAGTTAGACGAAAACACGATTCCGTAAAATTTTCTCGATAGAAAAAAAATCCAAAGTTACCTCCAAAATAAACAATAAACCGCTGTTATTCATAAAATACTTTAAATAAGATCATGAAACTTTGCATACTAACTGAACTAACTATAAAGCAGTGCTTATGTTATTTATTTTTTTAAATACGATTATTTTCACTGTAAAAAGAAATTACCTAAACTATCGGCCTCTTGAAGCTTGATTCATCTACGCAACAGGACGACCTGAAATTAAAATGGGAAATAACCGTAATAAAAATAAGAAGCGACTGGGTTGGCGTTAAGAAACAGGCATAAATATGATAAACCTAATGAAATAAGTATCTAACGACCTATCTACTTACAGTATTAGTGATTACAAACATGTCGGTACATAGCATACGACGCGCGGGGAAGTGGGGGTGAAATTAGTATTTGAGCCGACTTACTATATCCCCTTAATATCTGGTATTAATTCTTTAACAAAAATACGAAAAAAGTATGCGGTACTAAATTTGCCGTTCCCCTTTACGTAACTGGGTACGCAGTATTGAATAGTGTTTCCATTTTTAGGGATTTCGCCCTTTCTTGGGCCAAAACCGGTAATTTAAAGTATGGCTTAGGGCTAATTTATACTTTCTGGGATTTAGGGCAATTTGGGGTAAAATCGACTATAAAGGTGGTAGAACTATTTTAACATAGACTTCATCGTTCGTTTGTGGTTGAGGTTCTCCCGAAGTTCCTAACACAGTATTATTTGATCAATTACTTTAAGTAAATGAGTTGATTGATTTCTTTTGACAGTGAGTGTCAGAGTATTTAGCCTTGTCGTAGTGACATGTACACAATTAATTTGTCTATAACTTTATATTCTCATTTCTCACTGCTGCAACTTTGTGAAAGACAGGACTGCAGAAATAAAAGTTAACAAAGATTTAGTGTTTCCTTGTCAATTTTTGAGTGCTAAACTAACTTAGTGGAAAATTGTGACTGATTACAAATCACCGACATATGACCATCAATTAACAATAATAAATCGTGCAAAAATTTAAAAGTTCATGGTTGGAGAATCCATATTGCAAGAATTGACTGAAACGATCAGATAAAAGTCAAACTAAAGCCTTTAGAAAAATGAAATATAATGTGTTTTACTTCTTACTTTAAATTTTATGCCCTAAATTAAGGATTTTCGGAGACTAATTTCAGTTATTTGAAGCTATTTTCAGAAAAATCCAGGGTAAAATTAAAACCTGATAGTGGACACACTAGTATTGAATGACATTGACGTTTGTGAATCTGTATCCTTCTGTCTTTTTGAGTTTTCTCAGCCCCCGTTGCAATCATGGCGGTGAACAACATTTCTAAAAAGCGCAAAGTATGTTATTTTCTTGTACTAAAACCTTGCAAATATGATAACCACAATAAACTAGTACGCCCTTTGGATTTACAAATGCGAAATTTTTTTTAAAAGTGACAGTGTATATCGTGATGTTAATCGATGTCAAAAGTTGTGATTGCCGAATTTTGTTGGAATTCAACTTGTAATATTATTTTATTTTTTATATTTTCTCCTAGATTTAAAATAAACATTTTCAGTGCCTCTTAAGCTGCCTTATTCTGGATATGTGAAATGATTAAAACATAACCTGTCATATTTTCAGTTCGTTGGGGACGGTGTGTTTAAGGCGGAACTTAATGAGTTCTTGACCAGAGAATTAGCTGAAGATGGCTACTCCGGTGTGGAGGTACGAGTCACCCCTACACGTTCAGAAATTATCATTATGGCAACTAGAACACAAAGTGTGCTCGGTGAAAAAGGCCGCAGAATTCGCGAGTTGACTTCTGTAGTGCAGAAGAGATTTAATATCCCTGAACAATCAGTAGAGCTGTATGCTGAGAAGGTCGCCACCCGTGGTCTTTGCGCCATTGCTCAGGCTGAATCTTTGAGATACAAACTGATTGGAGGTTAGTGGCTCACAAGCATTGATATTTACACATAAACTTTCTGTTCAAGTCTGTTCGGATGACAAAATATCTACTAATGTATTTCATATGCATATTTTTTAATTATAATTCGTAAGAATTTTATGTGGAAGCTTCAGAATATTCTGAAGCTTACCAATATAATTATGAAGTATGTTTTATATTGAATTTTACCTAAAATTGATTATGAATGATGAGGTGCATTCCTTAATAAACTGCGTTTGATGTTAATCTTAAATGATGAAAAAACAATCAAATTAAACAACAAAATAAAAATGTTCACATTGTCATATATAGATGTAAAACATTTAGCTTAGAAATTAACATATTCACTTCATAATTTTTGGCTTTAATATGTTTACCTGAGCAACGTCTTATGATGTTGTGTTGATAGAATTATGAAATGGTGTAACATCATAGGATGTCCTCTAGATTGTCATATTTTTTCCGCAGAATGTCTTTGGACATCTTTTTTATAGGTAAATTCCTATGGTGTATCAAGTTGCACTACAAATTTTACTTCGTTATAAATATATCTTTAGACTTCAACTGTCTTACTACGTATAACTTGCCGTATTCTGTGTACATTTAGAAAGCTTCTAACATAATTAATTGAAAAGATATATACATCTTATAGCCTATATATGTCATACTGTATTCACTATTATTATTTAACAATATAGTACAATTTAAATAACTGCAACTATAGGGTCATAGATAAGAATATAGTATCAAACTTCTAAATTGTACATACAAAGATTTAAAATTTTTATATAACCTTAACACTATACTACAGGTCTGGCAGTCCGTCGTGCATGCTACGGTGTCCTCCGTTTCATTATGGAATCTGGAGCCCGAGGCTGTGAAGTGGTTGTATCTGGAAAATTGAGAGGTCAACGTGCCAAGTCCATGAAGTTCGTTGATGGCCTCATGATCCACTCTGGTGACCCTTGCAATGACTATGTGAACACAGCCACACGACATGTGTTGTTACGACAGGGTGTACTCGGTATTAAGGTAAGAGACTAATTTGTGTAGCAAATGTATCTTAATACATATATACAATATGTAACGTAATTAACGCACACCCTCAGATACCCCAATTAGTATATTATGTTATAATCTTAATATATACACTGAATTTTTAGTTAACCATTTTTATGCACTGATTATTTATCATATTAGTTATACTAATTCCGGAAGAATGTTGTGGTCACAGTACAAATCCACAAATGCAAAGACTTTAATGTCCTTGAAATAAAGTTCATTTTTCTTTATTTTTATTGAATGACACAATTGGTAATAATACAAATAAAACTGCACTTTGAATAAAACTAAATTTACGGATTTTATAGCGTTTATTTAACTACTTTTACTTATTTTTACTTTTACTTATTATTACTGCACTCTTAAAAGTCTTATCGCCTTAAGTTACGGTCCATTTCAGTTTGTTTTGACTGTACAGATTTAGTGTGACTGTTATTTACGTAGTTTTAATTATTTTTGGTATAAAAAATTACCTATATTAAAAATGGTAGGAATCGATTCAGTAAACGATTCTGAACAAACTACTTTCTCAAATTGCGTTAATTATGTTACATGTTGTATATATCTGGTATATATATATATATATAGAATGTATGTTCTCTTAAAATATTCAGATACTGTCAGCTTTCTCATCAGTCCATTGATAGACCGATTAATGGCCGTATAACCTTGTTATCCAAAAAATGTAAAATCAGTCAGTATAAAAGTGCATCAGGAGTCATTGTAAAAGTTGTGCTCTATTTCATCCACACCAATTATTTAGATTTTCTGATGAAATGAGGGTGCTCTTGTGCTTTTGCGCTCACGCTCGTGCAATCCGATGATATTGTAAAAGCTGATAAATAGCACTAACATCATGGAAAATAAAAAATCCTGCTGTTCTACACAGAGTACTGTCCTGAGTCTCAATTGAAAAGAGTCATTGTGACCGAAATGCAATCATGAATTCTATATAGAATTTATTAATAATTTTGTTGTTAATCTTGATAATTTATAGAGATGGGCCGAATATTCAGCTAAATCACCGATCATTCATTAAAGTGGCACTCAAGGTGTCCTCTGTATTGAAATGTACGAATTGAGTGGATAATGTCATGTCTTTCATAATTCGAATTATAAATTTTATTTATGGGTTAAAAAAGTGTTAAGGTGCTTCTGATGCACTGTAGATTTATTTCCAAGTACAGCAAACAGAAAGCTCGATAAAATTTTTTTTGAATAAAACAAAGAAACATTATATTACATATTACATTTCACTTTAATTTGGTCGTCAGTTTCTCTAAAATAAGTTCAAATAGTAAATCTCATGCCACTCATTTTTATCATATAATTATCAATTTTCACTAAGAATAACACAATGAAATACTTTTTTCTCACAAAAACACTCAAACCGTAAGCATGTGGAGCAATTTGCTTAGTACTAGATGATGAGTGAGGGTCATCGTTCGGCGCTAATCCCACGCGCTTTACGGTAACAAGTTTCGACAAATTGGTTAGGTACCAAGGTGATCCTGCCGAATAATGTTCGGCCGAATATTCGGATCGGAAAACGTTTTACCGAACTTTCGGCCGCATATTCGTATTCGGTGAAATCCATATTTGGCCCATCTTTAATAATTTAACTACAAATTATTGAGTTCTTGCAGATGGCACTGAATATATTGCTTTTTTTAGGGTTCCGTAGTCAACAAGGAACCCTTATAGTTTCGCCATGTCTGTCTGTCCGTCCTCGCTTAATCTCTGTGGCCGTTAGCACTAGAAAGCTGAAATTTGGTACCAATATGTGTATCAATCACGCCAACAAAGTGGTAAAATAAAAATTGGAAAAAAATGTTTTATTAGGGTAGCCCCCCTATATGTAAAGTGGGAAGTGATTTTTTTTTTAATTTTAACCCTAACGTGTGATATATTATTGGAAAGATATTTAAAAATGAATAGGGGTTTACTAAAATAATTTTTTGAAAATGTCAATAATTTCGGAAATAATCGCTCCAAAAGTAAAAAACAATGAATGATTGAATATACTTTATTGCACACCAAAAACAAATTTACAAAGATCATAACAGAGAGCAGATTACATGTACAATTTGGCGGCCTTATCGCTACATAGCGATCTCTTCCAGGCAACCAAGGGTGTAAAGGAATAAAACAGTGAGTACTAGGTAGGTGGTGCAATATAAATATACCTAATATAATATCAATACATGCAATAAAATAACATATAAATAACTAATACCTTTAAAAAAAATATGATACATATATACATATGTATATACATAAACATACACACATACATACACATACATATATATACATATCCGTATAAAACAATGTGACCCCCCCCCCCTCTAACTTTTGAACCATAAGTTTAGAAAAATCTGAAAAGTAGAACTTTATAAGGACTTTCTAGGAAAATCATTTTGAACTTGGATGGAACAACAGTACCCACTACCGGGAGCAGTTGCAGGAGCGCGGAGCGCTGCTGGAGCGCGAACATAATGGATACCCACCTTTAAACTCATAAGTGGGAACACTTATTGTGACGGACGGGAAACTACGGAACCCTACACTGAGCGTGGCCCGACACGCTCTTGGCTGGTTTTTTTTTTGGATGACCAACTAGCAAATAAATGATATTATAATTATTAAGAAGTGGTTACACTATTTTATAAATAAAATATTTAATTTTAATAACACATTATTAAGTAAACCACACAATCAGGGATTGCAATCTCAATAGCTTGTGATCTAATTTGTTGTGGAAGAGTAACATGGCTTGTTTATTGGAGGGTTTATTATTATATAAGCTCTTATACGGTGCAGGCCAAACAAACTAAGTTAAGTTCGCATGGGAGTTCTAAATTGTGACTTAGCATTATTTTAATAATTGTTAAGAACTATGGTGAACATAATGATTTCTTATATTTACGCGAACACTACACATTGAAATAATACTAGCTTTTACGGAATTTATCGCGTATATTTAACTTTTTAACACATACAGTGCCAATTACACGGCGCCGTGAAGGTGTGTGCGGCCGAACACACGGCGCCGTGGAGGAGTGCGGGGCCGGCTACACGGCGCCGTGGCTCGCGCCCGTACATTTTGCATGCGTTAGTATTCCGTCGGCTCTTGCGAAACGCACACGTTTTTGCCATACGCTCGAATTCAAGAACTTGCGAAAACCGTTTTCGGATTTTTATTTGAGTGACCGGTTCTTATTATATGAGCCTTTGAAAATATACAATTTTCGCGCCAAAATGAGCGATAAGCCCGGGCCTTCGAAGCGCTCTAGTAAAACAAGTATACTGACTTCTCGTGCTAAGAAACGCCGCACAAATTTTTTTTCTGATGAAAGTGATTGCTCTAGTGAGGAAGAAGTTTTCTCGCAATGTAGTGATGGGGATAAGGAATGGGAAGAGGAAGAAGAGACGGAATCCAGTGATGAGAGCATTTTTGATTCGAGCAAGTCTTGCAAAAATAGACTTGCAGTGAGCCGTGACCCTTTAGAACTGTCACATAAATTACCCCCAAAAAATCAGGCGGGTAGCAATGAAGTGATGCCTTCCCGTCAAATATCGACAGAAAAGGATAACCCTAACTCGCCGGATGTGATACAAGATTATGGCATGTATCCTGACATTCCTGACAATTTATTGGTAGACGTTGATACAACACCATCTGTATCGTTACTAAGGTCATCGGCTCCCACTCCAAACTTGTCAATTCAGGAAATCCCCACACTTCGTAATGAAAACGTTGCCAGTTCCCCTACGCCGCCGACACTTTCTGCTAGACATGAACCTTCACAACCTGAGGACCAGCAGCCATCTCAACAAGGAGCCACTTCGTATTGGACTTCCGATGGTACATTGAAGATCATAGATTTTACTAAAACTCAAGGGTTATTAGTTCCAGCTCCATCAAATCCATATGAAGCATTTCGGTTACTTTTGGACGATGATTATTTGGATATGATTGTGCATGAAACTAACCTCAATGCAGTAAGAGTTTTAGGACAACCTGGTTTAACCGAAAAATCCAGAATAACTCACTGGAAAGATTTAGACCGCGAAGAATTAATTATATTTTTGGGTTTACTGCTTCACACAGGTACAATTCGCCTCAACAGACTCAACGACTATTGGAAGAAGCATTGGTTATTCAATTTATCTTGTTTTAGTCAATATATGTCCCGGAACCGATTCATGCTAATCTTACGATGTCTACATTTTACATCAGAACCAAGCGATGAAGATAGGCTGGCTAAAATTCGTCCAGTTATGGACCATTTCAACAACACAATGAATGCTATTTATTATCCAGGAAAACAGCTTTCTTTAGATGAATCTATGGTGTTGTGGCGTGGTCGTCTAGTGTTTCGCGAGTTCATCAAAAATAAGAGACACAAGTATGGTGTTAAATTGTACGTTCTGGCTGAGCCTGATGGTACAGTAATAAAGTTTCAGATATATAGTGGTGCAGGTGATGAGACCGCCGGAGTTGGACACACTCAAAAAGTTGTTCTGAAGTTGCTGGAAGAAAAACTAGATTCTGGTCACAGTGTTTATATGGATAATTATTACAATTCGTATGATTTAGCAGTAAAACTGTTGGATCGTCAAACTTATTGTACTGGTACCCTTGGTAAAACACGAAAAGGAAATCCTATCGAACTTGGCACAGTCACATTAAAAAAAGGAGAAAACAAATCTTTATTTTTGAATAACGTACACATCGGCAAATGGAGAGATAAGCGATATGTGCTTTATTTGACAACGGAGCACGAAAATGAAATGATTGAAGTTACGAATAAAAGAGGACAAATTACTGAAAAACCTTCAGCAATCGTGCACTACAACAACTTTATGTCAGGAGTTGATCTTCAGGATCAAATGCTGTCCTACTATCCCTGCGAGAGGAAGACTATGCGCTGGTATAAGAAGATATTTATACATACACTGCAAATGAGCCTAAGCAACTCATTTTATTTATATAACAAGTTTTCTGCAGCGAGTAAGATCAATTTCTATGATTACCGTCTTTCAATTTTGGAGAAAATGTTACCTAAACAAAATGTGTTAACGAAGACACTGGTCATGGAGCACAAACTAACCAAGATAGAAACGGTAAAGATACGTGAGAAAAAGGAAGGAAAGTGTACACGAACAATAAAAGAAGTAGTGAGGAAAGAGTGTAAGGGTTGCAGAGGAAAGAAAAAAAGAACAGCAACGCTCTTTGAATGTAAAGGTTGTCCAGACGCCCCAGGGTATTGTACTGAATGTTTTTGCGAAGTTCATTCATAAGTTTGATATATAAGTACCCACTACTGCCATTTTTATAAGAGAACAGTAGGAGATTATTGATTTGTTTTTCCAGAGTTCTTTGGTTTATTTTTGATAGAAGCTTTTTTATTTGTTTTTCGAATAAGTTTTTGGTTTGTTCTTTATAAAGGTATTTTTTTTTGTTTTTTACAAATTTATTTTGCCAAAAGTTTCTTGATTTATGTTCATAGAAGTATTTTGTTTTGGTAGTATATTTTAGTATATCATTTGTTTTTACAAGACAATTTTGATGTGGTTTGCACTTTTATACTGTAACAAAAGGAATAAGAGAACTACGATAAGTTTTTCGTATTAATAATCTCATTTTTTTAAATAAAACTAATAAAATAAAAAAATTGTTTTATTTTTTTTGGCCCTCAAAATGAACTGTAAGATATTATTTTAAAAATAGTTAACAATTAAACCTGCACACGGCACCGTGTACACGGCCATACGCTATCCTGTACACCGACTACACGGCGCCGTGAGTTATTTATTTTTTCATGATATTCAGTCCTGAATTTTTTTTCTATCAAGGTTTTGGCTTTAGATCATCTTCAACTAGCTATATATAAAATAAAATAAAACGGCCCCCGGGTGACCTATTTATTTAAAATAGGGCTCAATTAATGAATCACTTATTTAAAAAGGCATTGAATGTGTTAATACCCGACGTTTCGAGAGCTTTACAGCACCCATGGTCACGGGAAGGACTGAGATGTTCAACGTCCAGATGTCATAGTTAACCGCGGTTTACCATAGATTAAAATTTAACTTTTGTTCCGATATACACAGTATGAACTTATGGTATCATGAAGTCTTGCAGTTGTATGCTTGGGTTGGGATTTAATTTTATTTATTATAGGATCATTGATCCTATAATAAATAGGATAATTTTATTTACTAAAGGATCATTGATCCTTTATAAATAGGATAATTTTAGTATATAATAATAAATAGGATAATTTTATTTATTAAAGGATCATTGATCCTTTAATAAATAAAATTAAATCCCAACCCAAGCATACAACTGCAAGACTTCATGATACCATAAGTTCATACTGTGTAGATCGGAACAAAAGTTAAATTTTAATCTATGGTAACCGCGGTTAACTATGACATCTGGACGTTGAACATCTCAGTCCTTCCCGTGACCATGGGTGCTGTAAAGCTCTCGAAACGTCGGGTATTAAAAAGTTAAATATACGCGATGAATTCCGTAAAAACTAGTATTATTTCAACTATGGTGAAGTCATAAAGAACCTGCACCCCATTGTATGAGGTACAGATTTTGTGGCCTCCAGTAAATGGTGGTACGACCATCATAAATCATCACAAAGTGTTAAAGATTTGAACTGGCAAAGAGAAACTTAATCAAAAGTTCTTGTGATATTATATTGTTAATCTAGCTGCTAAATGTGACAATATAGCAAAATAAGAGACTGGTATCCAGCAGTAGGCAGACTGATGAAGAAATATCCATACTTTGTTCTAGATATAGTTAAAAAAAATTCAATGCTCTTCTTAATAAGATTTTGGTAAAAACCTAATTTACTCTTTATAACAAACTCCTTTATAATGGAAAACTATGGCCAATCTAATATCATAGATATTGTTGAAGATTGGCTGTTTTAAGTTTATTAGTGTTGCTGTTACAGTCTCTCGAAAGTTCACTACTAAACATAGGCCTCTACTAGTAATATTACATACAATAATAAAACCTTCTATAACATAATGGAACGGTCCACTTCTATAACTCCTATAATGATATTATGATACCTTGTGCATCTTTTAATTATTAATGAAAAATGTCTGATGACTGATTCGAAATTTACAAATCTAAATCCCACAGACTCATGATGATATGTATAACATTAGCTGTCGCATTCAAGGCCCTACTCCTAGCGAAACGACCTTGAGCGTTCGGTCCCATACATTCCACATGCTCTCGTTACAATAAATCGCGTAAGAAATACGCCCAAAATTTAAAATATTGTCTTTATAAAATCTAATTTTATAAAAAATTAAATTGATCAAAATGTTCATTAATAAAATTGTCTATCCATTAGTGTTAATCGCGAAATAATATAATGCTTACTTTATGATGAGATGCATGTTATCAATAATTATTTTGCATTTCTGTGGTGTAGTTGTAGGAAGGTTCATTAAGTATTTACTCTATGGCTATTATGGAATCAAGATTATGTAGAAATCTAATAGATCTTTTATTAATTGATATATCTTTTTAATGTGTTCAAACATGCACCTGACGGGCAAGGCTTCATTCCAATATAGCCTATGCCCACCAGTGGATTTGAAAGGCTGATGAAGATTTAGTCTTTTGGTTATATTGATTATAATAATATTGTATATATATATATATATATATATATATATTTACCCAGATGACCGAGCTTTGCTCGTTTTTTTTTTTGAAATTACATTTATATACAAATTAAATACTGATGAAACATAAATAATATTTTTTCAAATTATTGACATAATAGAAAAAACTGAACCGGTTATTTGAATAAAAAATCATGAGTGCAATTAGTTTAATTAAAATTTTCGTATTTTTAAGAAATACCAAAAAAAGAGCTCGAAATAATAGATTTTTTTCACAAAAGAATGGAACTTGAAAAAAAAGGAAAAAACTCGGCCCGAAGACAGGACGCGAACCAAGGCATTACGATTTCACGACCGCTCGATATCCACTTAAGCTATTACGATCATTAACACAGTGTCAAAATTTACCTTCTTATATTGTAGCAGTTTTTCATTGCCTGAACGGTTGTCCCGACTCCCTGGACACTAAATTTTATGAAAATCGTTGGAGCCGTTTCCGAGATTCCGATTATATGTATGTAACATAATTAACGCACACCCTCAGACACCCCAATTAGTATATTATGTTATAATCATAATACATACACTGAATTTTTAGTTAAACATTTTTATGCACTGATTATTTATCAAATTAGTTATACTAATTCTGGAAGAATGTTGTGGTCACAGTACAAATCCACGAACGCTAAGACTTTAACATGCTTGAAATAAAGTACATTTTTCTTTATTTTTATTGAATGACTGAAACAGAATTAGTAATAATACAAATAAAACTGCACTCTCAAAAATCTTATTGCCTTAAGTTACGGTCAATTTCAGTTTGTTTTGAATGTACAGATTTAGTGTGACTGTAATTTACCTAGTTTTAAATATTTTTGGGATAAAAAATTACCTTTATTAAAAATGATAGGAATCGATTCAGTAAATGATTTTGAACAAACTACTTTCTCAAAGTGCGTTAATGGAGAAGATAACAAGGTTACGATATTAGACTTTTTAAGTACGTAGGTAAAAAGTTATTATTCTAATAATGAATACATTGAGGAAAAGAATTTTTAAGTGTCTGCCCCTCTCCTGTTCATTGCTATGCCTTTCGAGGTGCACGTGATTGTTAGAACTTGCATGTTTTGTTTAGTTTCTAAGTCACATGTAACGCAATTTGTGAATAAATAAATAAATAAAGTCTAGACCAAACACATAATTCTAGTTTTTATTTCACATCGATCGGTGCACTATTACCGAAGTTATAAGCGTGGAAAGTTTACGTACATTTCTAAAATCTCGTCCGTGCCCGCGAGTAGCGAGTGACGACATTCGTTCCATGCGGCCGCGCCGCCATACCGTTCCAGCGCGCCGATCATACGTTTGTAGTAATATTTCGCGGGTGAGTTGTTTGCCCTCGTTCGCTCTGGTGTTTTTAAGTATTTAATGATGGAAGAAGGGTTTCAAAAGGGTCAATCTGACAACCTTCCAATAGTCCGTGACATGATGGTGGCGGAATATTTTCTAAGAAACAAAGATTTTGTCGCGATTGAAATACGCGAAATCAAAATGAAAAGGTAGGTATAAGAATAAGATAATATTTTTATAACCTAGGTACCCATTATTACATTATTACATTATTCTGGGTTTCATTTGCTAATGATAAGAATAGTTTCAGCCTCTCGGTCTCGTCTGTGAGGTGGCTGATTTCAGCCAGTAAAAAATTAAAATTAAATTTATTTAAACACGCCATTAAAACAAGGTCGCATTTCGCGGCTAAATTCGTTTATTTCTTTATCTTTCTCTGTGGAATAAGACCGTGACTATGTTCATTATGAACTTGGCTGTATGATATACGTTACTACTAGTAACGTGTATAGAAAAAATAAAAAGAATCTTGTCATTGAAGTTCCATTGATTTCGTTGAATAAACGTGTGATAATTGTGCTTTTAAAATTGTGAATTACATAAACATCTTTTTTAAGTTTGAGGCGACCACCAACTAGTTTGTACTTCACGTAGTTTTCCATATCGTTTTCGACCTAGAACAAAATACAAACTTATTTAATATCTATAAAAAATAAGGAACCTCGTAATTTGTATTCCATCAATATTTAAAATATGTACCAACTATGTAATACATTACAACACGAAAAAAAGTTTAAGTGGAATAAGTTTGATTTTGAAGTGGAGCTTCAAAATCAAACTTATTCCATTATTTGCGGCCCGCAAAGTATGAAAGTTGAACAGCTGTGCGTGTGTGTTTAGTTTTTGCTCGAAATATCGTAAAAATATAAAAACGTTTGTTAACATATTCCATATTTTAACCTTTTAAACATTTTAAAATTTACTGCAAACATAGGTAGGTATCTAAACTTACGAACTCACGACAGGTCATTGACTTATCTACATTACGTAGGTACTGTACCCAAGTTTGGATGTTTATTTACACTGAAGTAGCTTTAGTTAAATATGTAGGTATTAGGTATTGTTTCTTCTTAAAATTATAATGATCATTAAGCGTGGAAAGGTTCAATTAATCGTTAGTTACTTAAACACTGCGACTCGAGTAGGTACCTACATGCCTAATAGAAAGCATTTACTAGCAATAACCAAGACCTATCATGTGAAGGTTATTATTATTTGAATACTTACGTCGAAATGATCCTCACAACAAAATGCTACCGTGTTCGGTCCTAAAGGATGTGCTCTTCTCGTAACATTTGTCCATTTTTTCTGATGGTAGGGTTTCTAGGCACATTAAAAAACAACTTTTCAGGTGTTTTTGTGGCCGTATTTTTACATTGAGGCACAGCACAATATTTAATATATGGTGTCATGTTCTACTATAATGTTTCTTGTTAAAAATAGATAGTTAGACCCGCATGCGACGGGCACATTCGAGTAAATGTTTTGATTTTCCTAAGTGCGCGTCGGGTCGCTCGCACGAAGATGGAACTTGTGACGTCATCAACGATGTCGCGCTCGGCCCGCGGCTTAAATCGAAAATGTTAACTTTGCGCCTTTATATCTCGGTCAGTTTTGAAGATAGAAAATTTTTTAAAACACAGTTATTCTCATAATTTTTTGTAGATTTTTTGGCATATTAAACAAAAAATGGTTATCTTCTCCATTATGTTACGTGTTGTATATACATATATTAAGAATTGCTCGTTTATATATATATATATATATATCCAATATTTCCTCCTTAGAAAAATCTAAGGATGTCTTTTAAATAATTAAATATAGAGAAAATTTTCATGTATTCATGTGCATCCAACAGACAATTTGTAGAGCCTGGTTAAGAAGAAAGAATTCAGTCATTAAACATTTTATTATCACTAACAATTGACTGCCTATTTGGTATAGTGGTTATAAATGCAACTGATGATCTTAAGGTCCCGACTTTGAATCTCGGGTCTAATTCTCTAGTAATCTTTCTCGGAAGTAGCCCGGAGTCAGAGAGTTAGCGCTGTTACACCTTCGTGCCCGTTCATATCGGATTACCATGCTGTCGGAATATGAGAGTGAGGGAATAGAGCCTTACTGTGTAGTGTCGGTTTACGAATATCCACTGCCCACCCTTTGTAAGTGTCATAAGAGGCCACAGAGGGAAACAAATCAGAAGCATCTTCCTAATAACAACAAATTATTAAAAAAAAACTGTGGTTGCCAAGTGTGGCAACTATGGCAAATCTCCCTATGAGGCAGTCTATGGGGAAGGCCTATGTTCAACAATGGACTCAAATAGGCTGTAATGGTAATGGAATAGAGATTGCACTTGTGCTTGTGCTTATACTCGGGCACTGTAATCCTGTCCTGTGCAGATGGCAAGTCTCTTTTGAAATTCGGAACTGTTCTAAATTCGGTCTAGAATACATACATATACATACATAAACACTCACGCCTGTCACTCAGAGGGGTAGGCAGAGACTACGGACTTCCATTTGGCACGATCCTGACATACCTCTTTCGCCTCCTTTACATCCATATATATACGCATACATGCTCGTCGGTTAAGGGTACTTCTAACGTGGCCCATTTTCAAAATATCGCCAATTTGGTCGATAAACTTTTTTCTAGGGCGTCCCTTCCCGACTCTGTCGTTCACATCTGCCATATAAATTTGGTTTGTCACTCTTTCCTCATTCATTCTTTCTACATGACCAAACCACCGAAACATTCCTTTCTTAATCCTGGTCACAACATCATCTTGCATACCGCTTTTATCTCTTATCACGCAATTTCTCACCGTCATTCAGATTCAACCCTAGCATATTCCCTAAAGACCGCATTTCTACAGCATTTATTCTACTTACATGCTTCTTCTGCCACACCCAGCTTTCACTACCATACATTAAAGTAGGGACTAACACAGCATTATGAATTACCTTACGTGCCTTTTTTGACACATTCTGGTTCTTCATAATAGAGTGTAGTGCCCCATTCACTCTATTCCCTGCATTTACTCGTCGTTCTATATCCCTATCATATCTACCATCCCTGCTAAATACACATCCCAAATACACAAACTCATCCACTTGCTCAATTAACTCTCCTTCTATTCTTATTTCACATACCGTTTTGCTTTCTTCTCTTTCAAAAAACCATCACTTTCGTCTTACTTGCGTTCACTTTCATTCCCCTTTCTTTTAACTCCCAGTTCATTAATGTAACCATCATTTGCAACTCAGCCGCCGATGACGCAAATATGACTTGATCATCGGCATACAAAAGGCATTTGACGGTTAACTCGCCCATTCTTAACCTACATTCTTCATCTTTCAAAGTTTGCAAACACCTGTCCATAATTAGGTTGAACAGCCAAGGGGAAGCCACAGCCCTGTCTGACACCTTTTTGAATGCTAAACCAGTCCGAGTAGACCCCATTGATCCTGACACAAGCACTAGAGCCCTATAAAGAGACCTTAATGCCTGTATCAAACCAGCGTTCAACCCATATGAGTTCAGTGTTTGCTATAACACATTCCTGTCCACTCTGTCATAAGCCTTTTCTAAGTCCATGAACGCACGGAAAAGACTTGATCTGTACACCCCATTCTCTTTCTAAAACCCGCTTGCACATCCCAAATTTTTCCATCAGTTTCTTTCATAACTCTTTCAATTAACACCTTGCATACAGTTTACCCACAATACCAAGCAAGCTCTAGAAGACATTATTATCATTAATAAATACAAACTCTTTACAGGTCAAAATCATGTTGCCGTGGGACCAGCAGGGCAAGAACGGCCCCAAGAAGCCCCAGCCCGACCACATCCTCGTTACAGAACCAAAGGATGAGCCGGTGCCTTCCGAGCCCACCAGCGATGTGCGAACGCTTCCGCCAACAACTTTGCCGCCACCCGTGGCCGCCGTTGCTTAGCTTTTAAGCTATACTTAATAAAAAAACTCTGAAAATGTCTGTTTTATTTCGACCTTCTTCATCGTCATTTGATTTGATTTATAATGATTAGTTGCAAACTTGAAAGGCTTCCCCCTATACTAGGTTGGAAACCTGTATTACTGGGCACCCTCTCATCCACCAAGACAATACAATGTAAATCAAAAAATAAAAGGCAAAAGCTAACATTAGAAAGTAAAAGTAATTTGCGAAAAACGCAGGCGATGGTTTCCTAACTGTATACTGTCAAAAGTCTAAACTGTGCCCACATGCCTGGTTCTCGCCATCGTATGGACGTGGAAACTGCAGCAAAACTGATTGCTATGCTACGGGAGTACGGTCTTAGAGATCTGCTACAATACGTCTCGATGTGTTGCGACTAGAAAATACAATCCCGGTCTTTTTCTGGCCTCGAAAATCTCGGGATTGTATTTGGCTAATTTCGGTATTGCTACAAACAGGTGTAGTTTGGCCCCGACGGGTCAAGAGACGAATCGCACGATCACCTCTTATATTGTTGCGAAATAATTCCTGTCGGGGATTCCGAGTGACGAGGTTACGTCATTTAAATTTTAAAAGTCAATTAACATATAGTAAACATAAAAAAGACAGTGTAGTTATTTTTTAGAAGGACGGGAATAGTGCTAAATGTAAGTTTGTTAAAATTTCGGTTAAATGTTGGTTCTTGTATGCGGAATATTCATACCGATACCAAGGAACCTTACCGTAGGGCATACAGGTAACCAACACAGACACGAGCTCGTATACACATACATACTCTTATTACATAGTACACTCATTTACACACCACGTACACATATTCATGTACCTGTACACACACACACACAACATATATACACACTCACGCACCTTTATATACTAACATACATGCTTACATGAAAATAGTTCATCGCCACTAGCAAAGAATATATACACTACGCGAAAAGAAACGACACTTGAGCATGTGTGCACGTAAAATCGCTTGCGGCTATGTGTGGGTGTCTGGATGTGTGCCCCGCGCCTTGAGAGGCGCGCGGGGCGTGGAATGGGCAGTCGCCGACTGCCCTGGCCGAGGGCTAGTAGTAATACCGATATTTGTCGGTATTAGTTAATATGAGTATATTCGTCAAGTGATATAATATTTCAATTAATATATGAATATTACTGATATCTTAATGTACATATTATTACTATTCTATTCATGTAGGTATTAAGTTTATGTTACCAAGTAACGTTATTAGTTTTTATAGCCGTGTATGCTAGGTTTATATGCTTTGATAAATATTAAAGTGATTAGAATTAAAATAAATTTCACTGCACAAAACAAGGACCCTAGTTTAATTTTTTATAATGTTTTATGATACCTAAAAATATGTGAACTCATTTTAATGAAAGTCGATATGATCTTAACAAGAATTATGGGGAAATAACATGACAATAAAACTAATATATCGCCAATAATTTTATTATATTACATTAACTGAAATATACACTATTAAAAATACCACTAGAGTCAAGAAATTTTAGATATCTATAAAGAGTTTTTATATTTGTTCATTGTTGTATTCATGGAATGTAATCTACATTGAATAAAAAAGTTTCTGTAATAAACAATACTTATTGAAAGTCAATTTTTTCATTGACCACTTACCACTGGTTCGCAAAAAAAAAACCTCTGTCCTGGGAAGAACCAGCAAGATTTGAGAAAACTGCTCTTAGCAAAATACACTCGTTTACCATAGGCGACCGTTCCATTCGAAAACATATTATGAATTTCAGTGAAAAATTCAGAAATTTACGTGGTAGAGCCATGCTGCAGTTATATTAGTAGTATAGTTGTGGGGGATTGGGGATTGGGTCTATGAGAAACAAGTAATTGCAGAATTGAAATATTTGAAAAGTACAGGTGAAATATTTAGTCTTTCTTTCGTTTTAAAAATGCTGTCTGACCTGCATTTAAAACTCTCTTATAGATCTCAATCATCCAATTCGTTTAGATGTTGATTTTGAATTGGTAAATAACATTGTTGATGTGCTGACCCAAATTAAATTGGCAGTAGAAACAATCTGTCGGTGAGATGCTTATTTATGCACAGCTGATGCCGCTTTGAAATTCCTTATAAAACAACTGTGGCAAAAACTCAGCACTTGCCAAAAAGTTAAAACACCCTTAGTGTAACGTATAAAGCAACGATGGAGTGATGCTTTAACTGGTGTGTTGAATTGTTTACAAAATCCATGAAAAGATGATGAAAATCAGCTAATATAATATCGAATTTGGGATGGCATGACTTATTTCCAGTTCCTACACAGGCTGAGGAAGCAAAAAAGAGTATTGTTAAAAGACTTAATAGCCGAGGTGACACGGAAGAAGAGGAAAGGTCAGGATCACAAACGGATGATGAGTTAAAGCCAGAAACCTCCCAACCCCAATTCACATTAAAAGAAAAGTTACAGCTGGAAATTTTTAAGAGTATGAAATCCCCAGATCCTGAAGTACAAGTACAAAATTAACCGGGGTTGGCAAATAGCATTAGACATGAAATGAGCCTGTTCGAAAATGGAGGATTTCGTGGATATCACTTAGAAACAGCAGCATATTAAGTAGGTATATATGTCTATTCTTCCAAGCAGCGTAGAACCTGAGCGAGGATTTCAACTGCTGCTTATGTTGGCAATGAACTACGAGGCAGGCTTGGAAGTCAAACACTGGATATTTTGATATTTCTGCGAAATGCTAAATACTTAGTTTTTTTGGTTTTTGTCTATTTTCTTTTCTTACTACATTGTGATTTGTCGTGTGCAACGATATTAAAAACATCTTGTAAGAAGTTACTCAAGTTTTTTTTTTTCATTTGAGCCCAATCAGAATCCACAGGGATCCCGGGATTACGCGTCAAAAATCCCGTAAACCCGGGATTGAAAAACATGCTCGGGACTATATTCTCTAGTCGCGACTAGCTATCCGAAATGTGTGGGATCGCTATCAGTAAACAGTAAATGTTGCTACATCTGAATCAGAGAGTTAAAGCCATAATGGCGGGTAGGTACATCAAGTTAACTACACGTAATAAGCGTACTATAACGGTCTGGGTCTATGTTATGTTATGTAAAGTGAACAAACCATTCTGTATCGACTTCAGGAAGATGGCCAACATAGTTCGGCCTAAACATACTTCACTAGGTGGTAGAGCTTTTCTGGCTAGGAGTCCGTCAGGCCACCTTCTTACTTATATACCACAGTATAAATAATAGTACTACGTACTATACCTATTTCTGTCGACAAATATCAGTGCTCGCACTGTTGTGTTTCGGTCTAATTAAACTGTGAACTGCGAGACATTCTATCCACAGAGTACTTTATGTACACCCCGAAATTACATCTCAGAGGTCACGACGGCATGTTAAGCCTTATTTGTTTGAAGCTTGCTGAAGGTGTCTGTACGGACTGCAGTTGCCACTCACCATCAGGTGGACTTTACGTTCGTATGTCCCTTCAGTTTCTAAAAACACCGATACTGGCAATGCATCGTGCGTTTGCCTGCGAGCATTCGGATTAGAATAATGTTACGAGCTTGAGGTTCGTGACAATAAAAATTGCCGATAGAATTACCTACTTAAACACTAAAAATTAATCACACTGATTCACTTTATTTCGCTCCGAAGCTTCGCTTGTCTCGCCAAATTCAATACTTCCTCAATCGCGTATTGCAGCGCCTTTATATAGGGCTCTTCCACGAAAACATCCAGAATATTCGAGTAAATACGCGCGCCAACCGACCAAGCGCAGAAAGTTGGAGTGTGGGGCTTCAAGAAAGCTTAGTTCTTCAATTCGATACTAGATGGCGCTGTCGGTTGAAAGATTAGTGATCATTTTCTGGAAAGCTCTCTCTTCGCTCTGTTACCCGACACTAGATGGCGCTAGTGCTAGATGTCAACTTAGCCGCGCAACAATAAGAAGAACCAAAAACTGTACTCTACGGACGAATGTACTTATAAGTTTTTCAGTTTTTTATTGTGATGACAAGTCCGCGTGTACAATGCATTCACGGATCATAGTTCTTTGGAGGCCCAATGGTGTGGGGTGAAACGAGTTTGCTGGGTAAAACAGAGCTGGTAATTCTGAATTAAGGTATTCTAACCGCCGAGCGAGTAATTCGATCTCAGATCAGCCCATTTGTAGCAGACTTAAAGGTGGAAAATGTGGTGGCTTACAATTCTACTGTTTTCTTTTGTAATAGTACATGTTACGCGATATTATTTATTTTTACTTTAATTGGAACGATATAAATAAAACAATTACAATAATTAAAAGAACTTATCCATTCTTCTCGCACACACTTCAGGCATTCAGACAATATTACCGTTCATTAGATCCACAAACAGATCGCAATCAGAATTTGTGTACAAGAGAGCACCAAGTGCGGCGTGGACATGGGGAACAGGCAAGTCGGAGCGCGCAACGGTGCGCGCCCATGTTACGGCAAAAAAAAATTACGCTTGTTAAAAAAAATCGACGCAGTTCGGCACTCAGGCAATTATTTATTCTAGTCTAGAGCGTCTATATTCCCGCAAATTATTTTACACGCCATGATGGCTTGTTGATACGCTCACCGTACTTGCTATGAGTTGTAACTCAGAGAACCGAAGAGAAATTTAGTAGAAAATCTGTATAGGTTCCATAATGGCGCATGTAGAGATATCTTAAAAATACCTTTTGAACTTTTTCAAAAAAAGTGCTTTCATACGTATTGCAAACACAACAACTAGTTTCGAGCGTACCAGAGCACTGAACATTAAACGTATTAGGTACGCTATCATTACGAAACTTTAACATTTTTTTAAATCTTTTAAAAAACGTTACCCCTACACTAGGATTTTCTCCTGTATAGTGGGGGTAGTTTACAAACATAAATTGCACAAGGACAAACATCCAGACCCGGAACAATTATTTGTAGGCCATACAAATACTTGTTCCGTGCGGGATTCGAACCCGCGACCCCCAGCGCAGTCACTCATTGCGAAGCCACTGCGCCACGGAGTCTTTAAACATTTCTGAGAACGAATCCCAAGCGTTAGTATGATTGCTTAGCTAACGTTAGTGAGCATGAAATGTCACGTGACATTCTTAAGCCGGTGCTTTAATTCTATACACTATCTTCGGAATGTGAAAGTATTTAGCACGGTCCTGAGCCACCTGCATGTCTTACCACATCGTCACTCCACTAAACACTAGATTAGCTATGTCGGTTACTTTGGTTCTACTACGGACATCCTTATTTCTAAGTTTATCACGCAGAGAAACCCCGAGCATAGCCCTCCCCTCTATAGCTCGCTGTGCGACCTACAGTTTCCTTATACGGCCAGCCACTGCTGGCCACGTCTCAAATCCGTAATTCACACTGGCAACACGCACTGGTTGTACAATCTCGTTTTCAAGTTTTGAGGTATACCTGACAAGATGTGTCGTAATCTCTCGAACGCTGCTCAGCCGAGTTGAATCCGTCGATTGACCTCTCGGTCGCAGTTGGACTTACCTAGTCGGACTACTTGCCCCAGGTAGACATACTCGTCAACAACTTCGAGCTTAGTGCTCCCAACAACCACTGGCATAGGTGTGACATGGACATTACACATGACTTTTGTTTTGTCTATGTTCGTCTTATGACCCCTCCGTTGGGAGGCACTATTCGGTCTTCAGCTTCGACTGTTGGCTCTTTCTGACAGACATATCTTCTACTCTACTTCTACACCCACAGAAAGATATGGGGTACTGGATATTCTTACCCGCCACGGGCGAGCAGTTTGTTTTAATACAAGATAATGCTGGTGATCATATGGCACGTATCACACAAAGCGCACTTTATAAAGTCAATATCGCGGTTTTGTCATGGCAAGCCATGAGTCACAAAGTGAAGAGAAATTGTAAATAGTCAACCAAAGCTCATAAACATACTAATGGCCCGGCCACACTAAGGAGAAATGCCGTTAATATCGCGTTGATGGACGTTGAATGTAGGTGTTGCCACGAATTATCGCTATAATTTGACAACGGCATTATCAATGCCGTTTCCCGTTTGCCGATAACTCGTGGCGATACATCATAGGATTAACGCGCGAATTTTCGCGTTGAAGCGGCCACACTACGTTTGTCTCATTGTGCACGGTGAGTGCCACGGGCGGGGTTGCACGTATGGCTGCGATGGAGTGGAGTAATGAAAAAGCTTTTCGAGATTGAATTAGAAAAATTACTTCAAAAGTACTTTAATATACGTTATGAAACTAAGAAAAATAAGCAGGGGAAAAAAAACAATTTTTGCAGGTCAAAATTCATAGTGTACAGTGGTACGAAACCCTGAGTAGGTACGTGTATCTAATTCGCACTTGACCAGTATTTATGATTGGCTTATTAGTTATTACTTCATTAAAATATATTTACGTTTGTCTTATTATTTAGCTTAAACAATTGGACGTCTTTCAAGTGCATTTTGGGTACGGAAAAACAAAATAAAACGTAAATAGATTTACAGTGTACGTTTCCTGTACATTTGTAGCATCCACCATCTTCTTGTTCTTTGTATTCTTTTTTTCTTTGTTTATTTTTTTATTTTATAGGATAGGGTGACAAGCGAGCGCACAGTCCACCTGATGGTATGTGGATGCTGTAGCCCACAGACATCTACATCTATCCTCGATTACGAATCAAAATGCAGATGCGTTGTCACCCGTGAGAACTAGGATGGAATGCCTCGTTTCCAGTAAAAATAATCTCCGGTTCTCTACACTCACCATACGAAACACAGCAGCATTAAGCTACTATTTTACACTGGTATTCTGTGAGAGCGTGGTCCTTCCCCGGTCGAAACATTTAACGCCGTTCAACGGAAAATTTGACGCCGTTCAACGGCAAATTTAATGCCGTTCAACGGGAAACGACGTTGACCGTTCAAGTGTAGCCACTCATTTTATCGCGTTAAATTTAAAGCAATAATTGTTGCGTTTATGGGCATTGACGTTGCTCGTTAGTGTAGCCGCAGCATAAAAGTCTGTGGTGAGCAAATACCTCATGTTAGGTGTACCGAATGGACTCAGGGTATGTACGCAGAGTAGAAAGGACTTATTCACATTCACTGCAAAACTTACCACATCTTTTATCATCTGGGTAAATATTGCAACAATTTCCAATAAAACATGGTGGGACCTATTTTGTGTTGAGTGAGGTAAGGGTTTATTTTATATTATAAAACAGATAAATGAACCAATTACATATTTATAAATGTTTTATTAAAAAGTCATGACTACATTCATCCCAAACCGAGTGCTTTGATATAACTAAATACATAATGTGTACCCGACAGTACACTGACATGTTTACAACAAAATAGTCACTAAAAATACGCAATATAATGTTATTTTGACAGAATTGAAAATATCACGGATTAAATGCAAAAAGGGAATCAACGAGGCACGATCTAAAATACAACGAAATATAGAGATTTTAACGAGTATGCACAATATTATTAAAAATAAATTAGCCCGTCGTCCTACAAAACATTGTACTCATAATGAAAAAGATGTTTCATAATAATTATTAAATCTTAGAGAACACGTGGATTTCATGTTTCTGATTACAAAACTTAGCTACACTAAAAAATAATTGTGAACTAAAGCTACTTGTTCAATTCTCATACTTAAATTAAACTTAATTAATACCTTTCTCTAGTCCCATTTAACCGTGTAAAAATACAATTTAACTATAACAATAAGTGTTAACAAACAAACATTGTATGGTGATGAAAAAATGCGCGGACATGCTTGCAAAGCTGCAAAAAAGACTGATTAAAATCTTCGAATGTTCAAATAATCAACTACGCAGTTTAATTTTTAAAACATGTACATTTAGAATATTTTATTTTATTTACTCAAACAACGTATATATTTTATTAGACGCAAAAACGTCTCGGTATAAGTTTATTCAAACAAAATGTTACAAGATACAACAAATCAATCATATTATAAAAAAGTTTGATATTGGGTACAGACTGTATAGTTACAAAGTAAGTTTGTATGTATAAAGATGTATGTTTAAAATACATTGTGGTAAAGAGAATTGGACAGAAGTCTTCTTTGAATACAACCTGAAGAACATAGTCTTAGAATTCTTTCCCGAATAAAATCATTCCAATCACCGGATGATATATTATCGGGCGTTATCTGAAAACAGAGAATTTCATATATTAATGTCATAATATAAAAAAAATTGAGTTTCGGCACAAACGGATATTATAATAACAAAGGTTAATATATATCGCCGCCGTGTAGTGGCGACGTAGAATAATCCACAAACCATTGACTTATATATTACTAGCGTAAGGACCGGGCCGACCGAACAACTAAAACGGACCAGTGCGCTGGCCCTAAAATTACAGTTTAGGGCCAACGCGAATCGGTCGACAGTGGTGCGCGCGCAAGAAAGATTTGCCTGTCATAAATATGTCTAGTTGCATGGTAAAAGAATGTAAAAATTACGATACAAAGATTAAATATGAACATAGGATATCTTATCATCGGTAAATAACTTTATATAATGTTTCAATTAAATTATTATATAGACGCATTTTTAAAGTTTTATTTCACAGTTAGTTTAGGTACTTTATCAAGATTAGGCCAGGGCTGGATTCAGACCCTCAAAAATATTGTACATGGAAAATAAAATTATACTATTTTTACGTTAGACGTTTCTTGTTTATTTTTTACCATGTGCCGGGATTTTAGCATCACGCGTCTAGTTTATCTATACATTTTGGTTTTTGACGGTTTTATTTTTATTTCTGTTTATTTTTTGTCTAAAGAACTTAGTGTAAGTTAAATTTTGAATATTGGTACCAAAAATATTTTATATATAATAAGGGAAAAACGTACAAAAGAAGTACAAAAGAAACCATATCTGTTTAATTGAATCTGAAAATCTGTATTTATCGTGGTAGCCCTTCATTATAGTTGTATGCAATATAAATGCATCGATCGAGCACCGATTGACCAGAAAGGAAGCTAATTCCAATTTTATTAAAAAACACGGTACTCATGTACAATACAGAAATTCTTGATATCGTAGGGTTAGTATTAAAATATAAAAGGACCCAATAATGATACAAGTCGACCTTTAGGTAAAATTATGGTATTTTCGCTTAGTATTATTACGATACTATTAGTCCAAGAGCTAGTGAACCCTCCGAGTAACGGTCTTCCTGTAAGGTTGGAATTTTGTACACTTAGCATTTATAGCATTCTAAGGGCAATAGCCATGACCTGGCAGGCGTCAGCCCTGCACGTCATCAGCCCCTTTATATATATATATATATATATATATATATATATATATATATATATATATATATATAAATAGATTATAAAAACTTTTTTCTGTAAGGTTAAAAATTTAATAGGATGTAGTTTATTTATGGTAAATCTTGAAAAAAAATTGACAGGCGATTGCAATGAGCAATAGTATGTGACAGGTGAATTGAAAGGAGCATAGTTGATGAGGTAAAATAAACTTTCTTCTGTACAGTTGAAATTTGGATATGTTTTTGAGTAAACGTTTTAAAATAAATAAGTAAAATGACAGGCGGTTTTAAATAGCATAAGACCTTGACAGGCGGTGGGAAAACTGCTAAGGGCGTGCTCGTAAGAGGTGTTACGTGAACGCATATAGTGCGAGTGATATAAAATAAAAACAAAAATGATAAATACAATATATTTTATTAGTTTTGATGTAATCTACATTAGTTTTTACATTAATTTCTTCATCATTATCCGACACTTCACTACTACTGTTTTCATCATCATCTGTCTCTTCTGATACTCCCTACATTTCTGCAATATTTTGGAATGGCTTTTTTTTCCTATTCTTAAAAAGGACGGATTAAAATCGCAACCGGTCATTGCATGAAATCCCGATAAGCTTTGGCATATAGAAAGTCCTAATTTTGTATACAGTTCAGAAAGGTTTATCCATTTTTTGAAATTATTAGTGCCTTATTCCATATAAATTTTTAAATTATTATTGTGAAGATGGTCCATGTTTCCGAGCATTAATATTAAAATGTCTGTGTCACAAGTTTTTATTAACACGTCGGATAGATCTTCATTCATTTGGCATGTATGATATATTATTTTCGTATCAGCCCTTTTCATGATAAATCTTAATATATATAAATTACGTGTCACGTTGCTTGTCCGCGATGGACTCCTAAACTACTTAAACGATTTTAATCAAATTTGCACACCGTGTGCAGTTTGGCCCAACTTGAGCGATTGGATAGTTTTTTTTGCCCATGAGTGACCCACAATTATTTTTACGAATTTAATGATTTTTAATAGGACATGACAAAGGGTCGTTGAAAAGGGCACGACAACGTCTGCCTGGCAACCTAGTTATCATTTATATTGAAAATCACGGAGTTATTATAGACACTATAAGTATGGCATTGTTTATAAATTAAGTTCACCATTGTGTTCCCGATGAACTCTGTCATTTCATTTGTGCTCCAGTGTGTAATTAAAAAATCCACAAAAGCTTCTTTGAACTGTATGTTACGAAGTTCTTTCATAAAGTCAACTGGTCTAACTTGTTCTGGTTCGGTAATAAAATAATTTATGTTCCATACTTCTTGTCGTTTGGCTCGTTCATAATCTTTAATAGACGGTGAAAAATATTGGTCGAAAATAATATCTACTCGCGAGGGATGTGTAGCTGTTAGTAGCAACATAATTTTTTTAGAAATACCACCAAATGTTTTTGGGATATTTTTGAATGTATGCAGTAAAAAGAATATATCGAAAATGCAACATCAAAACGTCTTGGTACTTCATCACTGCTGACATTTGCCTTCAAAATTTCACTCGCACCATAGGCGTTCCTCTCACTCGCACGCCCTTAGCAGCTTTCCCTTCGCCTGTCAAGGTCTTATGCTATTCAAAACCGCTTGTCATTTTACTTATTTATTTTAAAACGTTTACTGAAAAAACATATCCAAATTTCAACTATACAGAAGAAAGTTTATTTTACCTCATCAACTATGCTCCTTTCAATTCACCTGTCACATACTATTGCTCATTGCAATCACCTGTCATTTTTTTTTCAAGATTTACAATAAATAAACTACATCCTATTAAATTTTTAAGCTTACAGAAACAAGTTTTTATAATCTATTTATTTTACAATTTAAAAAATAAAGGAGCTGATGACGTGCAGGGCTGACGCCTGCCAGGTCATGGCTATTACCCTTAGCATGCTATAAATGCTAAGTGTACAAATTTCCAACCTTACAGGAAGACCGTTACTCGGAGGGTTCACTGGCTCTCCAGCTATATGTACTACAACTAATGGTACAATCAGGATAATTATACTACGAAATCCGACCCTGGTTACGTCGTGTTATGATATGACGTTTGTATTATGACAGATCCGCCGCTACTTTTTCTTGTATGAAAAAGTTATGAGTTAAATATTAAGATGGGCCCATCCTTCCTTTTGAAATCATTGCCACTAACCCATATTATTATTCTGTGCTTACCGTAAGAGGCCACAGAGGAAAACTCAAACAGGAGATGCGGCATCTTGCTGATAAACAAAATAATAAAAAATGCAGTTGGCAACCATGTCCAATCTATGGGAGCGATCAAGTTTCAGCAGTGGACTTTATTATTATTAGATTGTAGACTGGATAGGACCTAAAAGAATACAATAGAGGTCAAAATGTCTAATGTTCCTAAGCTAGGCCAATCTTTATTCTTTTTTGCTCGTGCTTCACGTGCGAATCGACAAGCTGTAATGCGGTCGGCAGTACGGCTATTTGCAGCAAGTTCCAATAATAACAATGCTGAAAATGTTAATTGTACCTAAGCGTTCACAGGACAGATGTTAAATGGCCAAATGTTCCAAATTACAAAATGTTCGAAAGATTAAAGTGACAATTGTGTCAATGGTCAGAATGTCAATTTTACTAAAGTTCAAAATATCAAATGTTCCAAAGGTCAAAAAGTTTTTAATGTTAAATTTGCGAAGGTCAAAAATGTCAATTGTATTCGAGTTTAGAATATCAAATGTTTCAAAGGGTAAGGCCTTTAATGTGGAATGTTCTAAAGGTCAAAATGTCAGTTGCAATAAAGTTAAATGTTCCAAAAGTCAAAATATTTCAAAGTTCAAAATGTCAATTGTACTAAAATTTAAAATTCAAAACAGTTATTATGTTAATGTTCCAAAAATTTTATGTGAAATGTTAGTTAGATGTGATATGTTCCAATAACAAAACGTGTAAGACTGGTGCACTGACTGCTGCACGTGTTCGGTGGGCGGCGCCATGCGGCACACGAGCTGCACGCCGGAGAGCAGCGCGGCGGCCAGCGGGCGCGGGAGCGCCGGGCGAGCGGCGGTGCGCTCGGCGAGCACGCGCAGCTCGCGGAACGTGTTGCGCGTGTACGGGTTGCGGCGCGACGCGTAGCGCCACGTCACGAAGTAGTAGTACACGAACGGAGTCATTAGCCCGCAGTACCCGCTGTGCAATGGAATACAATTTCATTTTATTAATAACTTTAATGTTTATAAAACGTGATATAATGTGAATGCATTGTATCCTTTTTTTTAAGTAAATAAGTGGGTAGTCCGTAGTACCAATGTGTGCGAATGGAAAGAGTTTAATCGAGTTTTGGTTTATTCTATATACCTACATTATAAATAATACATATTAGTTAAATTTTAAAAGTAATTTACCACTGGTTCGGAAAATAATTCTATCATGATAAAAACTAACATGAAACCCAGTATAATTTTTTTTTTAATAATAACAGTTTACAAGGAAGAGGAAAGAGGTAGCGAGATTAGTGCAGGTGAAATAATGAAAGCAATGAAAAGCATGAAAGCAGGTAAGGCTGCCGGATATGATAGAGTTTCACTCGAAATGCTAAGGGCTGGAGAGGAAGTGGTGGCAGGCCTGCTGCACACCTTGTTTAATTTATGCTGGGAACTGAAGCGGGTACCGGTAGACTGGTGCAAAGCCGTGATAGTCCCAGTATATAAGGGAAAAGGGTCGCAGCAGGACTGTAAAAACTACCGTGGCATCAGCCTTCTTAGCATTGTGGGAAAACTGTATGCTAAGGTACTGATTGAAAGGGTCATGAAAGAAACTGATGGAAAAATTTGGGATGTGCAAGCAGGATTTAGAAAGGGAATGGGATGTACAGATCAAGTCTTTTCCATGCGCATGATCGCGGAGAAGTTTTTGGCCAAAAACCAAAAGGTTTTTTGTGCGTTCATGGACTTGGAAAAGGCCTATGACAGAGTGAATAGGGATGTGCTATGGCAAACACTGAACTCATTTGGGTTGAGCGCTGGCTTGATACGGGCATTGGAGTCCCTTTATAGGGACTCTAGTGCTTGTGTTAGGATCAACGGGGTCTACTCGGACTGGTTTGACATCCATAAAGGTGTCAGACAGGGCTGTGTAGCTTCCCCGTGGCTGTTCAACCTATTTATGGACAGTTGTTTGCAAAATTTGAAAGTTGAAGAATGCGGATTAAGAATGGGTGAGTTAACCGTCAAATGCCTTTTGTACGCCGATGATCAAGTTATACTTGCGTCGTCGGCGGCCGAGTTGCAAATGATGGTTACATTAATGATCAGATCATTAAAAGAAAGGGGGTATGAAAGTGAACGCAAGTAAGACGAAGGTTATGGTTTTTGAAAGAGAAGAAAGTAAAACGATTTGTGAAATAAGAATAGAAGGGGAGTTGATCGAGCAAGTAGACGAGTTTGTATATTTGGGCTGCGTATTTAGCAGGGATGGGAGATATGATAAGGATATAGAACGACGAGTGAATGCGGGAAATAGAGTAAATGGGGCCCTGCACTCTATTGTGAAGAGTCAAAATGTGTCGAAAAAGGCACGTATGGCAATTCACAATGCTGTGTTGTTCCCTACTTTAACATATGGTAGTGAAAGTTGGGTGTGGCAGAAGAAGCACGAGAGTAGAATGAACGCAGTAGAAATGCGGTCGTTAAGGAGTATATTAGGGCTGAATCTTAATGACAGGGTAAGAAATTGTGTAATAAGAGAAGAGTGTGGTTTGCAAGATGATGTTGTGACCAGGATTAAGAAAGGAATGCTTCGGTGGTTTGGTCATGTGGAAAGAATGAATGAGGAAAGAGTGACAAAGAAAATTTATGTTGCAGAAGTGAATGGCAGAGTCGGAAAGGGACGTCCTAGGCGAAAATTTATCGACCAAATTGGCGATTTATTGAAAACGGGCCAAATTAGGAGTACCCTTAACCGACGAGCATGTATGCGGAAGTGTATGGATGTGAAGGAGGCGAGAGAGGTGTGTCAGGATCGTGCCAAATGGAAGTCTGTAGTCTCTGCCTACCCCTCTGGGTGACAGGCGTGAGTGTTTATGTATGTTATGTAACAGTTTACAATCATGACTTATGTTATCATCACTTAATTATTTAACATTATATTAACCTTTCTTTAATTTCCTTTTAAATTAGCAGTGGAACAATTTTGTAATTTCATTGGGATTTTGTTTTAAAAAAGTATACACTACCCCATGACTAAATAACTGACTCTAAGTTCAATAACTTCTTAAGTACAATGTTATAGTAAAATAGTCTCAATGAATTACATATATACGTACACACTGATTGTGACCACCGTAGCGTTTTTGCCGACATCATAATTCCGTACCACACGATAAAAGAATATGTAGTTACTCTGCTCTACATATGGTTTACGATACGAACCTCAAATTGTTTCCTTTGGAGCTGTTTAAATTCCTTTTTTTAGTTTTCATATTTAATATGAACTGTCTGTTATCAATTACACACATACACACACACACGCGCGCGCGCGCGCGCGAAACATCGTGCATGAGTAGTACATTTATAAGTTCCATAAATCTTTATTGGATTTTAATAAATGGTGATGAATATATCTATTAACAGATTGTATTCGTACATATTGTGTATGTATGTACGCCCAACCACCAACGCTTGTCAACACTTATGATGACCAAATTAAAGGATGGTCAGATGTAATGTTAGTAATAGGAGTCTAAGAACCCAAATTCTTTTATGAACTAAGGGTCACTTCGATTATAAAACCCAAAGCTCTCTCGTCATTCATCGTTATACGTCTCACTACTGAGCACAAGCTACGTCATTACCCAAAGGCTAAGCAATTAATGCCTCTTCGAGATATTTTTCTTCTCTTGCTTTGCTATTTTCTATCCCATTACTCCGATTGCATGCAGATTTCCTCACAACGTTTTCCTTCACCACCGTTCACTGGTTATGGGGGGGGGGGGGTCATCGAAAAATAATTTTTTTTACAGGATATTTTTGCCCCTTACACACAAATCTTACATTGAGATTAAAGAATGGCGTGAAACAATCTCCGAAGCTCTCCAAGCTTTAGCTCTAGATCCGCGTCTATTTCTATCTATCGTCTATTGTTTCTGGTTGGGATTAAAACCATGGCTTAGTTATGTAAATAAGATGTTCCAAAATGTATGGAGCCTGGGTGCTCGTACACTATACAGAAAAATGGGGAAACATATTTTTAACGGTTCTCAACTGTCCAATTATTTTACAATGGCTTTGTTTGCTGGTAAAGCACAGGAAATTACACTTGAAATTGCAACACACAACAAAAATCTATCAAGGCGGTAAGCTGTAATTTTTATTGATAAGTGGCGTTTGACATATTTATTTCACGTATTTTTGACACCATGGAGGTTAGAGAACAGTAGAACGATCGCTACGTGCTAAAGCATAGTCCGCCTGTCCCTGAAAATTTGTAGAATTTATAGCCACGCTGCCGTCGGTAAGTAGTATCTGCGAAGTAATTTTTTAATTATTGACAAAAAGAAGCATTAAAATGGTGAAATATTATAAAATAATAATAATAAATCAATAATTTATGTTTGTAATAATTTATTATATTTATAATAATTAAAATTATAAAAAACATAATTTATAATTTATTTATTAATGGTTTCGTTATTTTCTTTGAATGATATTATAATAATTTCAAACTAGCGCACAACAGGCCACTTTTATTGAGACAACTTGCCGATCGCAGTGCCTCACTTATTTCGTCCATATTTCTGGGACACAATTTTCTACAGCGATTGTCCTCCTGTTCTCTAACCTCCATGTTTGACACTGTTGTGACAACTGACAGTTCTCTTTTTATGATCAATGGTCGCTTTATGGTTTATTAAAGACTAACTAAATCGGTGAGACGCCATGTTGAATGTCGATAAAAATAATTGATAAACATCAATTGTTTACTACGACAGGATACATTTAAATGAATTATCTGTATTTTCACCAAATTCTACAGATTTTTCTCTTTTTTACAGGTACAGTGTACATAGGCCTGGCCCATTTTGAAACATCTGCGGTAGTAGGGCCCCTGTCCATCAAGGAATTCGTCTGGGCGGGTACACCAACCTTATAATCTACAAACACTCACAATAATGCCATAATGGCGACGACTGGGAACAGGACGATCTCGGCAAGTGCGGCGGCGCGCAGTATGTTGCGCGACTGGAACTCGACCAGCGAGATCATCAGCCGCGCCACCCACATCGAGTTTTGGCCCAGGGTCTGGTGGAAAATAGTGCAATATTTATTCATTGATTCATTACAGTCTATCAAATATAAATATCCTTACCGTTACAGCCTATTGAACTCCAATACTGAACATGGGCCTCCCTCATAGGTTGCCTCATAGCCTCACATTTGCCATAGTTGCCACGCTTGGCAAACGGGTTGGCACCCGCAGTTTTTTTATTTCTAGTCGTTATTAGGAAGATGCTGCTGCCCATCTCCTGGTTTGTTTCCCTACGTCGCTTCTTATGACACCCACGGGGTGATATGGGGTAGTTTATTCAAATTTAATTAAAATTAATTTTGAATTATTTCATTTAATTAATTAAATTTAATTAACCTTAAAAACGAAGTTTAATTCAGTAAAATAAAGCTTTTGCGCTATTTCATCTGTTAACCTGAATATATTAACGGGTGATCAAAATTATTGCAGTTGAAATCGTGTATCATCTATCCCTTCTCTTAGAATTAGGAAGATAATACCTTTGTTAATGATATTTATTTATTCATACTAAATTGTTTAAAATGTACAAGGTAAAGTTAACGTATGTATAACTTAAAAACTAATATAATATTATATTATGTATTAGTATACTATATATTATGTATTATATATAATATATAGATATTATATATTATATTTTATATAATATACTCTTTGTTTACTGAAAATAACTGTACAAGCAGTTTGATAATTATAAGTCAGTTTATGCACCAATACACACAGGCTGTGTAAATTTGTAATTAAAATTACATGTTTCCTCAAAACTAGACTCAGAGTAATTTTTTAACCAACCAAACCATTAAAAATATGTAATTATTATCAGAGATTTAGTATCTTCCATATTTATTTCCTTTTTAGTTAATATTTATCATAAATTTAATTGCTGCAAACATAATACCTACTTAAAGATATATTGACACAGAAAAAGGATTCAGCAGCATTTTGAACATCATAGAAATAAAATAAAGTAAATTTTCATGGTACCTTATACGAAATCTTTATTCTGCTTTAAGGGGTATCAGAAAAATTTCAAGAATGCTGTAAGCTTTTACAAGTGAATCATTATGCACGTATTATCCTAAATTTGGGATTATAAATTCTAAACAAAACGGGAAATCATTCTCATTAATATGTTTTTCGTATTTGAAAGTTGTAACAAAATAAAACAATTTAAACAATTTTCATTTATTGCTCTAATTAATTTACGGATCAACGTTAACTTTTCGAAAAGTTTCGAAAAGCTAATTGAATCAATTTCTAGATATCTTAGTTTTTTTAAAGATAAAAGTAGTCGTTTCAAATTTTATAGTTTAGGTCAGTCCTATTTTCACATTTTGTAAATTACAATTATATAAAAGGTCGAATATTAAAAAATACAACGCATTTGTAAATTACATAGTTTATACTTACGTCAAGTATGGTCAGTGAGTAGGAGGCGGCGTGAAGCAGCGCGAAGAGAAAGATTGGAGTCAAGATTACTGGGTCGAGTCAAGGTCAATCTCTATGAAATAATACGCCTTCTACAAAACCCACGCATATATCAAAAATATTACAATACTACAACGTAAGTTTTATCATTTGTGATAGAGCTTCTGATGTGCATAAGAATCCGTCTGGATCGGTACCTGCTCCGACCTATTTCTGCCAGTATGCACCAGTGTGTACACCACTTTATTTCGGTTTGAAGATTTAGAAAGACATTGCGGACATTTGGAACGAAAATTTGATTATAAATTGTAAATATATTTTATTTTAGGCACACCGTATATTGGCGACGTAATATAATCCACCATCTCATATCTCTCATATTATTCTGTGAGTGTCAAGAGGCGACGGTGAGGAATTGAAAAAGGAAGTGGCCAGCAGCATGCCTCTGATAATAATTCAATGTATAAAAAAACTTTTGCCAACCCACTTTGACAGGCAATTATTATGGCAAAATCCCTAGAGGCCTATTTCAGCAAAGAACTTTTATAGGCTGTAAGGATTAAGAAAAAAATGTCGAAGAATATTATATAAAAAACTGATACTCTATACAAATATTGGCGCCCACTAGAATTACAACTCAGAAGTGAGATCATTTAACAATTAAGTTACGGTTTCGTAATAAGAATTATATTAACATATTTAATATAGCTAGCACGGGGTACAATTGAAAACAATATACAAAAAAATGATGTAATTGTAATAAAACATCATAAACAACTACATTTAACTATGTTAGATCATATAAATTGAATTCATATTTCATATTACGTTATTTTGCTTATTCTTTTCAAGTAAACTGCCAACCTCAATGTCATATTACTTGCTCACCTTGACATCCGTAGCAACATTCTTATTTAAAAAGATCAAAATTAAACGAAATTAAAACTGATTGTACACATATATAGATAACTTGGTGTTGCTTGCCCTTGGCTCGAATCCAAGCTTGTAAGGAAAAGAAAGATTAGGACGAGTTGGAGCTAATAGCTTCCAACTTTATATTTATGCCGTAAAATTAATTAAACGCCCATTTCCTGAACACTCAATTTCAAATTAGAATAAACTTTTATATATTTAATACATATTTCACACTAAAAAATGTAACCTTTGTATATTTTTGGGTCTTTGTTGACTCACTATCTGACTTTGTCTATATTACTAGCTAATATGTTAGTTGTTTTTTAAATAGATGTAAAGGTGACTAGCAAGCACTTAGTACACTACAATAGTATTTATTGTAAGTGAATGCTGTGGCCCAAAAGGATATGAGAGAATGGCTTGTGACTTGCACTAGCACTACTTATACTACTGTAGCTAATACAATATATTGCACTATTTAAATAAATAATAAGTTACCACAGCATTATATACTATTTAAATCAAATAGTTAAAATAATGAGTTCAACAACATAAATTCTATTCAATAGAGTTTTAGTACATAATTGATTAGAGTCACTTAATTTTGAGAACAGATAGCTTTTACATTCAGTAAAATAGTACACACACACACACACACACGCACTCACGCACGCACTCACTCACTCACTCACTCACTCACTCACTCACGCACGCACTCACTCACTCACGCACGCACTCACTCACACACACACACACACACACACACACTCACTCACTCACACTCACACACACTCACAATCACTCACACTCACTCACATCACTCACTACTCACACACACACACACACACACACCACGCACGCACGCACGCACGCACGCACGCACGCACGCACGCATTCGCATACATAAACAAATACATATTTCATAAGTCTATAATATAATATATAGATATTGATATGGAAGAGCGGATTCACCTGGTACAGGCATTATTTGCGTAAAAGGAGAATCTGGCAAATGTTGTATAATAATAATATTTACAAAAATCTGGTAAATTAATGTTTGTAAACCAATTCTATTTGCTAAAATAAATTTTATTATTATTATTTTTGGGATATCTATATAATTTTCTCATCTGATTGGGTTCTATAAATATATAATTTTAAGTTAAAATGAAAAGATAAATATACATAAATATCAATAAAATAAAATAAATACAAAAAATACATAAATAAATAAGATCCAACCAGATGGAAGCCCTCAGCTGGGGAGACCAAACGGCCGAGGGTTAGGAGGAAAGGGAGAGAAACAGGCGGACGATGCGGGCGGTATCGAGGAGCACCGCCTTCTGCATTTGAGCTCGGAGCGGTCCGTCACGGAGTCCCAGTCGCCTCAGATGACCCGAGAGGCTGACTGGGATTAGCCCATTCGCAGAGACGACTACAGGAATAATTTCGGCCGGCAGACCACCCCACATGTCGGTTACCTCGTGAGCCAGGTCCATATTTTGTTCGTTTATCTGTTTCGGTTTTCACGAGGTTCTCGTCATACGGAATGGTAATGTCGATCAAAAATATACTTGACTGCGCCCTGTCCATCAGCACAATATCAGGCTTATTCGCAAGAATAGTCCTGTCCGTGATGATGGCCCGGTCCCAATAGAGCCTGGCGCGGTCATTTTCAAGGACGGCTTCCGGCAAGTACATGTAATACGGCAATTTCCGCTCCTCGAGACCGTATTTCAGAGCGAGCTCCTGCAGTAGAATTCTGGCTACTATGTTGTGCCTATGCAAGTACTCAGAGTTAGAAAGCGCCGAACAACCGGAGATGACATGCCTAAGTGACTCACCGGGATGGCGACAAGCTCGACAGACGTCAACGGTGCCATCTTTTAGGATGTATCTCGGATAGTTGTTGGTCTTAATAACTTGATCCACTATTGCACAGACAAAACCCTCGGTTTCCCCGAAAAGGTCACCGAAACGTAGCCAGTTGAGAGAGGCGACTGTATCTACGAAGGGCTCATGTAGAGCCCTGTAGTACCTCCCGTGGAGCTCCTTCTCCTTCCATACGGTCTCCCGGTCGGAGATGCTTTGTACCGCCGGGTCCTGCCATTGCTCGTTGGCTAAGGATAGAGGGGTAAGCCCTTTATCACTAGAAATGACGTCATTATAGAATGGATCGATCGGATGATCGCCAGGAAGTAATCACGGAGGCTGCATACTTCGCGATTATGTATGGTGAGCGCGCTCAGGAAGCCACGCCCACCATGCTTCCGCGGCAAGTACAGCGTCGTTACCGACGATCTCGGATGATGCATCCTATGGGACGTCATGGTAGTGCGGACTTTTCTATCCAGGGCGTTAAGTTCAGTCTGAGTCCACCTGAGTATGCCAAAGGTATACATGAGGACAGGCATGACCCAACCGTTATATGCGTATGCCTTATTCACACCGGACAAAAGGGTGTTAAGCACTTTGATCAAGCGTGCATAAAACACGTCGCAAACTGACTGTTTCATACCAGCCTCATCGATACCGATGTTCTGTGACATACACAGGTATCGGTATGTTTCAGCCTCGGAAAGGGTTCTTAAGTTGACGGGCATAGATAAGTCTATGCCCTCAGAGTTAGCAACACTTCCCCTTTCAACATGGAGGACCGCACACTTATCCGTCCCCAGCTCCATTCCAATAGAATTGCTAAATTCACAAGTGATGTTTAGCAAAGCCATAAGATGGGAGTGACTGGAGGCGAATAATTTGAGGTCATCCATATAGAAAAGGTGGGTCACTTTTGTACTTCCTTTCCGAAGCTGAAATCCCCTCCCGGAGCCCTCCAGTAAAGTACTGAGAGGGTTCAAAAAGAGGCAGAACCAGATTGGACTCAGACAGTCGCCCTGGAATATACCCCTTCTTATCCTTATGCGGCTTTCCGCAGCCGTCATCCGCTCGCCTAGATGACAGAAGATCGTACTCCACTGCCCCATACACTGCCCGAGGAAGTCTCGAACTGTACAGTCAATCTTGTACAGCTCGAGGACCCTCTTTAGCCATGTATGGGGCACCGAGTCAAATGCCTTTCTGTAGTCTATCCAAGCGGCGAAGAAGTTCCGACGGTTGCGTTTCACCACTTTGCCAATGACCGCGTCAATGAGGAGTGGTTTCTTGGTTCCACGACCGCCGCCACGACATCCATTTTGAACGCGCGACGTCACCTGATTTGAGTCTAGGTGACGAGTGATTCTCGCGCTCAAAATGGATGTTAGTGTCTTGTATATAGTCGGTAGACACGTGATGGGGCGGTATTTGCTCGGGTCTGTGGTACCCTGGTCTTTAGGAACCAAATGACTGATCCCAGTAGTGAAGAGGCTTGGGAGCGACTTCCGGTTGAGAGCCTCTTGAAACTGTCGGGCGAGCACAGCGTGACACACCATGAACCCCTTCAGCCAGTAGTGATGCAGCCCGTCAAGCCCCGGACTTTCTAGTTCGGGGCCCTACGGAACGCCTCAGCTACGTCACCCGGCGTTATGATGACGGGGTCCGTGGGCGTTATACCCGCACACTGACTCGCCACAACTTCCGTCCAAGGGCCCTCACTGTGGTTTACGGGCTCTGACCACAGGCTGCGCCAGAATGTCGGCCTGATTCGGTGCTGGGCCCGTTCCACTTACCATTGGTCGCTCCAATGATTTATAAGCCTCTTCTGACCACTCTGGAAGAGACGATTCTGGTTGAACCGTGTCGACCTCTCGGTATATTGCCGAATCCGCTTTCCCCAAGCAGCGATTCTCTGCTTCAGGTCGTCTATGCGCTCCGTCAGTTTTTGCATTATATCCGGCTGGGACAAACTAACATTTGTCCCAGCAAACGCCATCCTGACGATGCGCACAATCCTTGGCCTGGTATTGCCTGACCTGAAGCATATCAGTCTGCCGATGAGGGCCCTAGCCTTTGCGATACGTTCTTCAATTCTTATTCTCCAGACTGGGATAGCACTACTTTGTCCAGTAGCGCGTCCAGCCGTGGAGAGTTTGGCGCCTATATTACGGCAGACTGCCAGTGCGGCGCCAAAAAGAATTGAGTCTATATAGAGTTGGAAATCACTACATGAATGGCTGATTAGATTGAGTCGATATTGCATATTGATAAAATACTGTTATTTGGGTCTATTTTGAGTGTCATTGTGTATCTTACACTGCATCCGAGTCTTCTTCTTTTCATCAACTTTTAAAAGCCCACAGCTGGAAGTTGGCATAATCATCATGCTTGTTAGGTGGAATGATGATTCCATTATCAAAACTTTTAAGGTTGCTGCCGGTCGCCAGTCTAGGTATTTTATTTCCAGCGCAGAGAGCTGGTTATACCACCATATATATAAGCCATGTAAACCATTATATAAGCCATTTGTGCATCCATAAGGTGGGTCTACACTAAAGGGGCCGAGCATGAGCTGAGAACAAGTTGAGCCACTCTACTCATAGTGTAAAGTGTGGACGTACAACCAGCCTACAACATACAAATCGATGCATGCAATGCAAACCCTTTTGTGTTCGTTAAAAACCGACAATAGACAGAGCGCAGTCGAGCATGAACAAGAACTAAAGGCTCGAAGCGCACTCATTCAAGGCTTGTAAGTTGTTCCACAATACAAGAAATTGTGCTCAGCTCATGCTCATCTAGTGTAGACCCACCACCTGTGATTTATTCTCTTACATTGTCTCCACAAGATACTCAAATGAGCCTAACACTAATCTAATGGCATAACTGTTATGTTATGTATGTGTTAGGGTTTAAATTTACATACACAATAATTCAAAAGGATACATAAATTTGGTGCAACATTCATGAAAATCAGAGAGTAAAAGAGATAATGAGCACTGTCTTCCAAGAAGAACCTGGCAAGGAACTCCCGCGAGAGAGAGATCTCTCGTGGTGGGATGCGTTGGTGTAATCGCAGGGCTGATGTTGCAGCATTGGCTAATAGAGCCTTGTAAAACGCTGACACGGGACTGGAACAAAGATACTTTTTTATAGAATAAGGGTAACTAATGAGTGCACAGTCTACCTTTGAAATAATACTAGTTTTTACGGAATTTATCGCGTATATTTTAACTTTTTAAATACCCGACGTTTCGAACGCTTTACAGCACTCATGGTCACGGGCAGGACTGAGATGTTCAACGTCCATATGTCATAGTTAACCGTGGTTACCATAGATTAAAATTTAACTTTTGTTCCGATCTATGCAGTATGAACTTATGGTATCTTGAAGTCTTGCAGTTGTATGCTTGGGTTGGGATTTAATTTTATTTATTATAGGATCCCAAGCAGATGGTAGCACCCAGCCATCTTCTCTATTGAAATTAGGATGTTTTTTGATTTCAATAGCCTCGCGAATCATCCTTGGAAGGAATCGGTGTTCTTTAGCGAGGATTTGCGGTCTATCAAATCTGATGTAGTGACGGGGGCGATCCTGTACGTGTTCACAGACTGCAGACTTCCCTTCTTTCTGAGTGTACGTGTTCTGCTATTGAAATCAAAAAACATCCTAATTTCAATAGAGAAGATGGCTGGGTGCTACCATCTGCTTGGGATCCTATAATAAATAAAATTAAATCCCAACCCAAGCATACAACTGCAAGACTTCAAGATACCATAAGTTCATACTGCATAGATCGGAACAAAAGTTAAATTTTAATCTATGGTAACTGCGGTTAACTATGACATATGGACGTTGAACATCTCAGTCCTGCCCGTGACCATGAGTGCTGTAAAGCGTTCGAAACGTCGGGTATTTAAAAAGTTAAAATATACGCGATAAATTCCGTAAAAACTAGTATTATTTCAATGTGTAGTGTTTGCGTAAATATAAGAAATCACAGTCTACCTGTTGGTAAGTAGAAGTTGTGGTCCATATACATCTACATCTGTCTTCAATTAAGAATCAAATTCAAATAAAAAGTTTTCTACACTTACCATAGAAAACACGGCAGCTTAAGCTGCTATTTTACATTGATATTCTGTAAGAAGGTGGTTCTTCCCCATTCGATCCGATCCATTAACACCACAACCACAATACAGCTGCAGCATGCCTCTATCACATGTACAAGTACAAAATATGTCATAGTCCTCTGCTACACTTTACTTTGGACTTTAGCAGTTGCAGTGAACATAAGCAAAAGATATTAAAGACTCACATACTAAAGGATGTAACAGTTGGTGGTTAATTCATTATCATTAATCATTACAGCCCAGCATTGCAGATCATAGGCCTAGCACAGTTAATACCACAAAGCTTGGTCCTGAGCTATCTGCATCCATGAACATCCTGCAGGTTGTCACTCCATCCAGTTGGGAGACCAACCTACACTCTAATTTTGTATCTGACTAGGCTGCCACTAATTTTGTATCTAAATATTTTACCTCTAAATTTTATATAATTCAAAATTTTACTTACTTATTAGATAAATAAATGGTTTTATTAAACATTTGCCCAATATTATCTCATATAATAAATTACAGTTATATAAATAAAGTAAACCACACTCACTTATTAAATAATGGCAATATATATCCTATTGTGCAGAGCACTGTAAAAATTCTGATGCCCCAAAGTGCAACATCCCTAGCCAGTACGAGGCTGCCACTAATTTTGTATCTAAATATTTTACCTCTAAATTTTATATAATTTAAAATTTTACTTACTTATTAGATAAATAAATGGTTTTATTAAACATTTGCCCAATATTATCTCATATAATAAATTACATTTATATAAATAAAGTAAACCACACTCACTTATTAAATAATGGCAATATATATCCTATTGTGCAGAGCACTGTAAGAATTCTGATGCCCCAAAGTGCAACATCCACTTTATTGGCTATAATGTGAGCTTTTAATGCTGGGATACCCTTTGGGGGTCCAGCTTCCCCTGCTGGACTATTTTGGTCTGCCATATTCTGTGCGGAAAAATAAAACAAATTAATTACAATATTTAATTAGAAATATAAAAACTTATAATTAAAATAAAATGATTTTCCATTATCAGCAGTCTATAAATCTTATTATTATCCTTTTGAACTTTATATTTAACTAGATTTTGCCCATTGATTCACCCTACTACTTCACACTACACCTAAGTAATTTGCTGACCTAAATGTATGGGTCAGCAAATAACTTAATTTAAAAAAATCACATCCAATGTGTTATTCCAAAATCTAAGTAATCATTATATATTTATGCGCCAGATCTATCCCACAGGAATCATGCATCTTTCCGACAAACCAACAAACACACTTCTGCATTTATGATATTAAGTAGGGATAGGGATAGTCTATTTAATTTTTATAAATTGAGTCTTTGCTTATGCTAACCTTCACAGGTTTATTTGATTGAAACTGAATTACCTAATAAAAGAGTTCAGTTCGCTTCAGTTCAGTAGTTTTAATGAACTAGACTAAGTACATACAGAAGTGTGTGTACAATAGTGTTTCTGTACGAAGGGTATAGAAATAGGAAACCAGTATAATAAAGTACAAAAAAAAAACTGTAAAAAAAATTTTGGGTGTGAGGCATTCCATTTTAGTCCTCAGATGTACCAACACATATGTAGCATATTTTATTGGAAGTAAGCAACAGTAAACACTTACCATCAAGTAGACTGTGAGCCCCTGTAATCTTTACCACTATAGTTTTATAAAAAAGGTTAAATAATTTTTTTCATTTATTCACTCATCAATTTTATGATGATGTATCCTACATGGTAACCATTATCATAATTCACATAAATTTCATGACTGCAATTCTTACATATCTACGAAAATGTTAAAAGTATTAAATTTTAAGTTAGTGAATTTATACTGATGTCACCATTTCATACCATTTCTCTTTAAGAGTAATGTGAATGGCAAAGAAAGTGCAGTCATTTTCACTTTCTAATTGTCTCTGTAACTGTGTCAGCTAGTGAGGCTAGTGAGATGAATGAATCTTAAATTCAAAAAACGAAAAGAAGCTAGCTATCAAACAAAAATCACTTAAAATATAAATTTATACATGCCATTTTTGTTATAATGTTAGATCGTGATACCATTATCAGATAAGAACACTGATACAAATAGTAAAATTTGAGAAATCCCATATATCATGCAATGGTTAGAAATTGCTAAATTTGGGTAATTGTTATACATATATTTTACCTTGAGGTAATAAAGATAAATATTAAGTAAATACCATTACCAGATTGTATTATCTATTAACCCCTACTTGATGATTTGAGAGTAAGGACTAGTTCAAATTCATGCATATACATACATCCATAATGAAATTAAGATCTATTACGTCTTTATTGTTTAAGACAACCTTCAAGAGACTAGATTTTACGTGAAACTCACAAAAACCCGTTTTTGAAGATAATTATAAAAAAATATTCAAAAGATTAAAAAATGCATGAAAGTTTTAGGTGCTAAAAATAACTAACCACAAGTAATATTCACAATTAAATTATGAGATAACTAAATAAAACACGAATTATTATGAAAATCCGTCAAATTATTAACACCACTCAACACAGTCCACGAACATGATTTGCTTAAAATGACAGAATGACCATAGATAAATACACATGTACGTACTAAGAATGACAGATTAGGCTTGGGTAAAAAATATCGAAAAATGGATATATTTCTATTAAATTTATCGATATTTATCGTCGATACTTTTCAACGCTATATATCGATCTTAGAAAATTATTTTATGGATGTAAAGGAGGCGAAAGAGGTATGTCAGGATCGTGCCAAATGGAAGTCCGTAGTCTCTGCCTACCCCTCTGGGTGACAGGCATGAGTGTTTATGTATGTATTTTATGAGTATCAAATTCGTATAAATTTCGAAGTATTTTCAAATGATATATCGATTTTATAATTTATCAGAAAAAACGTTAAGCAACTACCAAAGCATGCATATGCTGTATTTTTTTGGCATGAAAACTGTCAGTAATAAAAATTTAGCTCTTATCCTACATCACGTAAAATATGACGATATATGAATATTTATCGCGCAATGATTAACCAGAAAGTTTTTTGTGCGTTCATGGACTTGGAAAAGGCTTATGACAGAGTGGACAGGAATGTGTTATGGCAAACACTGAACTCATATGGGTTGAGCGCTGGTTTGATACAGGCATTAAGGTCTCTTTATAGGGACTCTAGTGCTTGTGTCAGGATCAATGGGGTCTACTCGGACTGGTTTGGCATCCAAAAAGGTGTCAGACAGGGCTGTGTGGCTTCCCCTTGGCTGTTCAACCTATTTATGGACCGGTGTTTGCAAACTTTGAAAGATGAAGAATGTGGGTTAAGAATGGGCGAGTTAACCGTCAAATGCCTTTTGTATGCCGATGATCAAGTCATACTTGCGTCATCGGCGGCAGAGTTGCAAATGATGGTTACATTAATGAACTGGGAATTAAAAGAAAGGGGAATGAAAGTGAACGCAAGTAAGACGAAAGTGATGGTTTTTGAAAGAGAAGAAAGCAAAACGGTATGTGAAATAAGAATAGAAGGAGAGTTGATTGAGCAAGTGGATGAGTTTGTGTATTTGGGATGTGTATTTAGCAGGGATGGTAGATATGATAGGGATATAGAACGACGAGTAAATGCAGGGAATAGAGTGAATGGGGCACTACACTCTATTATGAAGAACCAGAATTCTGTCAAAACAGGCACGTATGGTAATTCATAATGCTGTGTTAGTCCCTACTTTAATGTATGGTAGTGAAAGCTGGGTGTGGCAGAAGAAGCACGAAAGTAGAATAAATGCTGTAGAAATGTGGTCTTTAAGGAATATGCTAGGGTGTAATCTGAATGACAGGGTGAGAAATTGCGTGATAAGAGATAAATGTGGTATGCAAGATGATGTTGTGACCAGGATTAAGAAAGGAATGCTTCGGTGGTTTGGTCACGTAGAAAGAATGAATGAGGAAAGAGTGACAAAGCAAATTTATATGGCAGATGTGAATGGCCGAGTCGGGAAGGGACGCCCTAGGAAAAAGTTTATCGACCAAATTGGCGATATTTTGAAAATGGGCCACGTTAAAAGTACCCTTAACCGACGAGCATGTATGCGTAGATATATGGATGTAAAGGAGGCGAGAGAGGTGTGTCAGGATCGTGCCAAATGGAAGTCCGTAGTCTCTGCCTACCCCTCTGGGTGACAGGCGTGAGTGTTTATTTATTTATTTAATGATTGTCAATATTGTTTGGAACCGTTTAAAATATCGATATGATAGATATCGATATTTCTTCCCTTGCCCATTTCTATGACATACGCAGAAGCATAGACTATAAGTTTTTTTTAAATTAAGACTTTTGGCTTATATGCTTGTCTTTTAAGCCATATTTTGATTTAATTGCGGATCTTTTTGATAGTTTTTTTTTCTTCATATTATACTGAGTGCTGACACGTCACACTGCAAAGTGCTTGGGAGATTTTGACGATACCTCAAGCCAGCAGACACAATATGATAGTAAGCGAAATGATAATAATAAATGTTTGTTGTTGTTAATTAAGGTATCGTATCGTATGACTTACTTGATGAATAAGTAATGCATAAGTTTTTTTTTTTCGGAAATACTATCTTTGGTACTATTTTCTTTAGATTGAAACAAACACTTCTTATTGAATACGAAATTTCAAAAAAGGCACATCTCGCATATTAAGACAAATACGTTTTTTCATATCAATGTGTTTTAAATGTTTCCATGTATCTATTATGCACGGAAAGGGAACGTTTCTGTTACGACGTCTTGACCTGTACAAAAATAATTCTGAAAAGGTCACAACTCTAAGAGATGTGCCCTTTTCGAATTTATAGCTTTAAAATAAATAAAATGCATTATAAGCTGCCTCTTTTGTTTTTGTGATTTAAAACACATGCATTATTTACGTGCCGTTGCGCTTAAATATTGAGCTCTTCTGATTTTGACAATGAAATTCTGAAAAAGAAAAAGAAAAGAGGAGTAGGAAATACTGCTAAACTTAAAGGTTTACCTTGTTTAAACCACAAAGGAAAACAAGTACCAGGACGATGAACATGATTCTGGTATCATTCCTCAAGACTGAGTCAAATCTACTTTTATAACTCTTCCGACAAAACGAAACGCCAAAACGTGCACAGACTACCACACTGTCAGCTTGATGAACCATGTTCTAAATCTGTTCCTAGCCATAATTCACCATCGCATAAGACGTAAGTGTGAAGAACAACTAGGAGACACTCAATTTGGATTCCGAGCTGGAATGGGTACAAGAAAAGCCCAGTTTGACAGAAATGTTATGATATGCAACAAGATGTGTATATATATTTTTCACAGATTACCTAGGCTGCACTAAAAGTATCGGGAATGGAATATTTCCACTGTTCCTGTCATATTAAAATCTTTTTAATTGAAAACTCCTTGGTTTTAAAAATAGAAAACCATTGATAGAATCAGGCGTTACTTTGCGGAAATCCATTATAATAAAAAATAAAAATATAAATTTCTTCGCAACCTTCCGCTAAACAAATACAATGATGTGTCTTACCTGGATTGAAGAGCACCTCCCGCCCTCCCTCAATTGCATGCACTAACTCTAAACTAAAAAAAGATTCTCGGTCTTGTCACAAGGTTTTGTCAAACTTGTTCAGTCGTTGAGAAAATGGAATTGACTCGAGAAAATTTAAGAGCGATGATTTATTACGACTTTCGAAGTGGTTTAACACAAAAACAGTGTGTTGATCGGATGATTTCTGCATTTGGTGATGAAGCCCCATCCAAAACCACAATTTATCGCTGGTTTGCTGAATTTCAACGTGGACGTGTCAAGCTCAGTGATGATCCCCGTCAAGGTCGTCCAAAAACTGCACCCAAGAAAACGTTGATGCTGTGCGTAAGCTTATTGAGGAAGATCGACATGTGACATACCGCGAAATTCAGGCAACTTTAGACATTGGCATGAATCAAATACAAATAAGCTTTCATTAACAATTAGGTGTAAAAAAGTTGTTTTCCCGATTGATACCGCATTCGCTCTGTGAAGAGCAAAAAGCGGCTCGCGTTACTTGGTGCGTCAGAACTCTCGAAAGATTCCACGCAGGATCCTCAAATGCTGTATACAACATCGTATCAGGTGACGAATCCTGGATATACGCGTACGAACCCGAAACAAAAAACCAGTCACGAGTTTGGGTGTTCGAAAATGAGTTAAAGCCAACAAAAATTGTTCGTTGATGAAGTGTTGCAAAAAATATGGTGGCCATGTTTGTCTCCAAAACCAGCCATGTTACGACTATTCCTCTTGAGGGACAAAGAACGGTTAATGCAGAATGGTATGCTAGCATTTGTTTGCCACCGGTCGTTTCTGAACACCGTAAAGAGAACTGCAACAGCCGCATCATCCTCCATCAAGACAATGCGAGTTCTCACACCGCACACAGAACAAAAGAGTTTTTAGAGCAAGAAAACATAGAATTATTAGACCATCCGCCGTACAGCCCCGACCTAAGTCCTAATGATTTCTATACTTTCCCTAAAATAAAGAATAAATTGCGTGGACAGAGATTTTCATCACCTAAAGAAGCAGTGGACACCTACAAAACGGCCATTTTGGAGACCCCAACTTCCGAATGGAATGGTTGCTTCAATGATTGGTTCCATCGTATGGAAAAATGTGTCAAATTTCGCGGAGAATACTTCGAAAAGCAATAAATATATTTTTAAATAGTAATGTTGTGTCACTTCCTTGATTCCCGAAATTTTCAGTGCCGCCCTCGTATGAGAAGGCTTTTGACCGTGTTAAGCACAACGTTCTTATACACATTTTGAAGACCGTCGGCCTTGACACCAAGGACATACGTATAATCCGAAATCTGTGTTGGCAACAGAACGCAAACGTAAGAGTGAAGGAAGGTTTCACCGACTCAATCGCTGTCCAAAGAGGAGTACGTCTGGGATGCATTTTGTCACTTCTGCTATTTAATCTATATTCGGAGAATATTATAAACGAAGCGCTAGAAGATGTTGAAGAAGGAGTCCTTGTCAATAGTCAACTGATTAACAACTTGAGACACACTGACGACACTGTTCTTATTCCATGTTCAGAACAAGGTCTTCAAAAAGTACTAGACCGCATATTCGAGTGCAAAACAAGAGCAGGACTTAATACGAACGTGTCAAAGACCAAAATCACGGTAGTTTCGAGAGTACCAAAGCAGTGCAGTGTATGTATAGGACAAGATAGTATCGAGCATGTTCAGACGTACCGGTATCTTGGATCTTGGGTAACTGATTCTTGGGAGAGTGACATGGAAATACTAGTCCGAATTGAAACTACAAGATCCTATTTTAAGGGGATGAGCAAAGTCCTTACTACAAGAAGACTATCAATTGAACTATGTACAAGACTTGTACAATGCTATATTTGGCCTGTCATAATATACGGATGTGAATCTTGAACTATGAAAGAAGATCTTCGTAAGAAACTGGAAGCATTTGAAATGTGGATGTATCGCCGTATGCTTCGAATAAGTTGGACAGACAAAGTTACTAACATTGAGGTCCTCAAGCAGATGAAAAGGAATAAGCCCCTAATTATCAAAACCATCAAACAGAGAATAGTTGGGTACCTAGGATTCGTGCTAAGGCATGAACGTTACCAACTTCTGCAGACTATTATGATGGGCAAAGTAGCGGGTAAAAGAAGTGTTGGTGGAAGGAAAATGTCCTGGCTCTGTAACATTCGGAAATGGACCGGGATAAAGAAAGTAGAAGATCTGTTCAGCCTAGCCCTGAACAAAGAAGAATTTAGGAGCATGACTGCCGACCTTCAGTAATGGAGAGGCACTTAAAAAAAGAGAGAAACTACAAGGGAAAACAAGTACCAGAACGATGAACATGATCACGACGATGGCATTAGGTGTGCAATGAAATATGAAGGTCCATCTATATTTTCCAGTACGCGACCACTCTTTCAATGATTGTGACAGACATTTTTCACTCGTCATAAGGAAAATGTGACGTGAAGATCGTGTGTTTACCCATCAGCAATATATTGATCTTATAATACAGTCCATTAACCCGAACCGAGAACCGAGAAATTTAACGTTGAATAAGTAAATACAGAAGATATTATAGATTTCAAGAAATGGGCTCAACTAAATTTTGAAGCGAAACCTTTATCAGTAAGAAGTTACGGAAAAGATATACCTAAAATCTAAAAGTTAGTTTTTATGTATCGGCTTTATTTTTCGATCGATTTTCGAAAAAAAAAACCTTAAATTTTGATGGTGGGATGAATATTGTACATTTTGTGAATAAACCGCAAAAAATTACATAGATAATGACGTTTCTAAGGAAAATTTCGTTCTTTTTAGAGTAAAAGATACTTGCAGTAACTTAACAAGCCAAGATGATAGAGCTTACAATGGTAAATTACCTATTAATAATCTGAAAATTGCAAATATTGCAAAAGTCACACAATTTATACCAGCTAAGGAGAGCCTCCAGAAGAAGAACTTTAACAATAGACTTTATACGAGATACGACAAAGGGGTTCACCAGTGCTGTCATCTGCATAGCAATAAATGTTACGGGTTTGCAACATATCATTGATATGCAGAAGAAACAGCGTTGGCGATAGCACGCAGCCTTGTGGAACACCAGCATTAATAGGCTTTTAATCGGAGCTTGCACCGTCTACAACGACCTTGATGTTCCGATCTGCAAGAAAGCTTGTGATCCAATCGTACAATTTCTCGGGAAGCCCATAGTAAGGGGGCTTCGAAAGAAGCGCTTTGTGCCAAATCCCATCGAAGGCCTTCGCAATGTTCAAACTAACGGCCAATGCCTCCCTCTTGGACTCTACTGCCTCCTCCCATCTGTGAGTTAAGTAGACCAGAAAATCACCAGCTGACCGATCACGGCGAAAACCGTATTGGCGATCACTAATCAGCTGGTGATCCTCAAGGTACCTCATGAACTGACAGTTAACAATAGACTCCATTGTTTTGGAGAACAAGCAGGCGTTTCATTGATCTCTTATATATTAGTAAAATATTTCGTTTAAATTTCTAACATATTAATATTAATAAACAGACAAAATACATTTTTTTATTTGTCCTTTTCTTCCACGTTTACAAGAAACTTTATTATTTTATCCTGTTACAATTAAAAACAAGGTTAATTAAGATAGGTCTGAAAAAAAAACCTTTATAGGCCTACACCTGACATTAGAGTAGGCGATTTTAGGCTACTTTTATACAAAAAAAGCGAATTTAGGCTACTTGGCGTCAAATTTTTGGCGACTCGGACCGATCTAGACTTGCAACACTGGACACTGCAATAGCAACCACAGACTAACTACTGACAGCAACAATATATATAATTATAATCATAGTTATCTGTGGCAACAACTGCCAACAACCACAAACTAATAAGAGTACTAACGTAGCCAACAACCATCAACAATTGTGATCAACAAATGAGAAAAAATATTAGTACATAATTTTTATGTGTTTTTATTCAAAAAAAAAAAATACTGACGAAAATGATAGGAAAAGTTGTTTGTAAAATGCCAATTCATTATTATTTAAATATTTTACACCGTTACCGCACATACAGTGTTATTGCTTCTGTTATAAAAAACGCAAATGTTGGGGAATTAACAGAAATTAAGGTTAGACAGAAATAATACGTTTAAAAATTATAAAATAGTGTCTTACTTATTTCTTTCTTACACAGGGCTGGGTGAAGAATTTACGAGTTTATAAAGAAGTTGTATTTGCAGATATAAGCGATGGGTCTTGCGCCAAAAAACTGCAAATTGTAATCCCTAAGCATTTAAAGGCTGATAATTTGACGTACGGCAGTTCTGTTCATATCATTGGTAAACTTTCCAAAAGTCCCAGAGGCCAACTAGAACTCACTGCAGAGGATGTCAATGTGCTAGGTCAGTGTGTTGTGTTAGATGGATATCCATTTAATCCACGGACTACCCATCCTCCGGAGTATATTCGTCAGTATTTACATTTACGTTCTAGGACTAATTACATCTCGGCTGTTCTAAGGATACGTCATGCTGTTACTAAGCATATACATGACTTCTTTACCTCCAATAGTTATTTGTACATTCATACTCCAGTTTTAACATCAAATGACTGTGAAGGAGCAGGAGAAGTCTTTAAAGTTATACCAGATAACAAAGCTACTATAAAAGCTATGAGGCAACAGGATAAATGTGATGATGATGTTTATTTTGGAACTAAAACATTTTTGACGGTATCTGGTCAGTTGCATCTTGAAGCAATGTGCAGAGGACTTGGAAATGTGTACACATTAGGTCCAACATTCCGTGCTGAAAACTCCCGGTCGCGATTGCATTTATCAGAATTCTACATGTTAGAAGCAGAGTTGGCCTTCTGTGATTGTCTAGAAGAGCTACAAAAATTTATTGAGGATTTGTTAAAATATGTATTCATTGAAACTAGAAATTCAAATGAAGATGATCTTTATTTATTAGATAAAGAAAAAAAACCTCCTTTGTGGTTAGATAAGAACTTCGTAACACTGAGTTATGATGAAGCAAGAAATATACTCAAAAAGAAAGGCCTAAATACTTCAGAAGATGGAATTAATAAAGAACAAGAGCTGGCTCTTGTTGACCATTGCAATGGTGTCCCTGTTTTTATAGTAAGATGGCCAAAGGAGCAGAAATCGTTTTATATGAAGGAGTCACAAGTTGATAATACTAAGGTAGCTTTAAACATTAATTATGTGTTACACACAATTTTTTTCTCCCAATCAAAGCCCATTGATAAATGCTTCCCTATTGATTGCCATCATGATTGGGGATCCCCCTAAGTAGCAATCTAAGAAGGTTACTATAGTTGCCACACTTAGCAGTCTGGTAGGCAACTATAGTTTTTTATTATTTTGACTTATCACAAAGATGCTGCTGCCAGTCTCCTGATTTAACACCCATAACACCCATAGGATAATATGAGATAGTGGATTCTCTAACACCACCATTATACTACTATAAAAGCTATGAGGCAATAGCTTTTATAGTAGTATAGTGCAATGGCAGTTGATGGATACAAGTCTATTCATTTAAGCAAAACTCAAAACTTTAATTTTGTGTATAACACAATTGATAGACCTTGTTGGGCACAGCAACAATTAATTTATTAGTTAAACTTATTTATAACATAGTATGGGTTTTGGATACAACCTCGTACTGCATTTTATCCACATATGTAGATTATCACCACTCAATCAACATAACATAGACATATTATCAATTAAACCACTACTTTGATGCATGTATCAACGGGCCTACAAACATGCTGCAGAGGTAGGTTGGTAAATTCCAAATCCTCACATTGTTAATGCTACCTGCTCTTCTGTACCAGTCTGTAGGTATTAAAGTTTGTCATTTTCAAATATATATCTAAGATATCTTATTTTAGAATATTGTTAGTGTAACTGAATAGTGGTGGTGTAAGAATATCCACTGAACCATATCATTCGACACCTTGAGTGTCGTAAGAGGTGACAGAGGTAAGCAAATCAGGAGATGGGCAACAGCATCTTCCTAATAATTACTTAAAATAAAAACTGCAGTTGCCAACATGATTGTCAAGTGTGTCAGCAATGAAGCCATCTAGGTCTATGTTCAGCAGGGACCTTAAATAGGCTGTAACGGTAGGGGTAATGGATAGTGTTGGTAGACCGAATAACACCTTTTATTTTAATTTGCAGGTTGAAGCATTAGATCTCTTGGCACCAATTACTGGCGAAATAGTTGGTGGCAGTCTCAGAGAAGATGACTATAATAAATTAAAATCAAAACTACCCTCAGAAGCTTTGAATTGGTATCTGGAATTAAGGAAATTTGGAAACATACCCACTGCAGGATTTGGCTTGGGCTTAGAAAGATTGTTACAAGTATTGTGCAATGTACCAAATATTAAAGATACATTGCCTTTTCCAAGATGGCCACATAACTGTGATATGTAGATTTAAGCAAAAGTGTAAAATATTTCAGTAAATCTAATATATAAAAATTAATATTTGTTTATTCGTATTTTATGCAGTGCCATACTGTTCATTAGATTTTTTTAATAGTGGTAGAGCCATGCGGCAGCTTTTGCTGTTGAATGCAAGGCCCGGCTTGAGCCATAATGGTACCACAACCTAACAGAATACCGGCGTTAATTGAAAGCTCTGCTTCCGCGTTTCGTCTGGCATGTGCAAGTAGCCGGAGGCCCAATTTCCTCACCCCCCCATCAACATTGTCGCGGAATCAAATGTAAGACTACAACAGGTGGGTACCAGCACCCCTGGAAAATCACCGAAAATCATGAACAGATCTTCCCGCATGTATGGTTCAACGTGAACCAAGCCATTCGGCATGCTGGGCGTTATCCAAGGCGTTGGCCGAGGATCACGATCTCTGCAGGGGGGTTCTGCTGTAGTAACGAATCTGTAGCCATTTGGATGTGGTCTGAGATGACCGCTCTGATGTCAGAAAGGGCAGAGGCGGCTGCGCCGTCTCGAGATGGTAGTGGACGGCGTTTAGGTTCGAGTAAAGTTCCCTGATATTGCAGAAATTGACGGATAGCATGGCAGGAGTCGCCTTGGTCTTGTTGTTCAGCTTGCCCTGAGCAGTTATTGTCTTGAGAGGAATTCCCCGCCCCCAATACGCGGGGCAGCCTGAGCACCCACACACAAGAGTGGAGTAGCTTGGTCGTAGATGCTCAGCGAGGGATTCTCCAGGAGTTCTGGTATCCTCCTAGGGTAGTCTTACATTTATTTCCGCTACCATGCTGGAACCGATGAGAAGGTGGAGGAAATGTATGATGATATTTATAGAGCCATGCATTCCATCAAAACCCAATTTCAACGCAAAACTAGGTACAAGAGAGAACGGTGAGCTGAAGATAGGCAATTTTGGGATAAGGCAATGGAACCCAAGGGGCCACTAGCTGGCCGAATTCATGAAGAAAGAGAGATTCTTTATGATGAACTTTTTCTTCCAGAAGCGGCCCCACAGAAGGTGGAACTAGTCGAGCTCCGACGGTTCGACAAAATATGTGATTGACTACATTATAGCGACTAGATGGCAACTGTTCAGTGATGTCTCAGTGATCGCTAGGGTGAAAACTGGCAGCGATCACCGAATGGTTAAAGGTACACTGAACCTAAACGTTAAGTTGGAGAGGTTTCGTCTAATGAAGTCAACGTTCCATCCTCCGCGTGCTCTAATACAAAGTTCCGAAACCTTTCAGCTCGAGTTACAAAACCGTTTTAAGTGCCTAGAAGACTCCAATGGACCATATGAATGATAAGCTCGTGGAAACTGTCCATGCGGTCGAAGCTAAGTTCTGCAAGACCCGCCGCAAAAGAACACAAAAACTCTCCGATCACTCTCTTAATCTCATGGCTGTTAGACGGAAAATGAAGCTGCAGTTTTCAACAGATTTGACAGCACACAGGCAACTGAACAGGCAGATCTCCAAATGCATGTACGACGACAACAAGCAACTTTAATACTGCTCGTATTGAAGAAGCGATCGAGCGAAACCAAGGCTCCAAAGCCGTTGCCAGAGATATGTCTGCCAGAAAGAGCCAACTGTCAAAGCTGAAGATCGAGTGTGGCAGCATGGTTTCCGGGACACCTGAGATTTTGAGTGACATTGTGAGATTCTATGGGCAGCTGTACACATCATCGTTGGTGCCACACACAAGTGAGCAAACGACCCGAGAGCAAGTCTTATCCGACACTATTCCGATGATATATGGCGAGATTAGAATGGCTCTCCAGCGCCTTAAAAACGGCAAGACCCTAGGCGAGGATGAATTTTCTGAAATTGGGTGGAAAACCTTAAAGTCCTTCAGAAGCTCTTTAATTCCGTCCTCCAAAGTGGAACTACTCCGGAGACGTGGAGCAGAAGTGCAGTGGTCTTGTTCTTCAAGAAAGGCGACAACGCTCTCTTGAAGAACTACAGACCGATTCCCTTCTGAGCCGCATCTACGTGCTGTTTTCTAGTTATTACGAATGGTCTCGCACACAGACTCGAAGACTTTCAGCTTCCCGAACAAACCGGTTTCCGAAAAGGCTTCAGTACCATAGACCACATACATACCCTGCGACAGGTTATATAGAAGACCGAAGAGTACAATTTGCCACTTCGCCTGTTGTTTGTACAGTATGGCTACGATGGCTATCAGAGTGCAGAACCAGAGTACGAAACCTAAACACAACTGCAGAGAGGTGTAAGATAGGGTGACGTTATATACTCAAAACTATTCGCCGCTGCAGTAGAAAGCGTTTTCAAGCTACTGGACTGGAAAGGATACGGTATTAACAGCAATGGCGAGTACATCACTCACCTTCGATTTGCCGACGATAGTGTCTAGTATATATACAGTAGTCTATGATATAGTCCTTAAGGCAGAATTGCTGGACATGGACCTAAGCACTACGCTCAATGACCTTGTAGGCTATTCTCCCACATTTTTAAAACATTATACTTAGTCAGGTCATAAGTTCTGTCAAACTTTTTATAAAATTAATGATACACTTTTTGATAATTATATAGAAATGATACATGGAATGAAAGGTAATTTAATTTAGAATACAATTTTTACATTACTCAGAATGCCCTCCCCTATTTAGAATACGTGTCCTTAATCGACGCGCCCCATTATCCATCGCAGCACGCACCACACTCATATCTATTTCGCAGCAGCGGCAGCTGCTATAGCCAAAGATGATCGGGAAGATTTCAAATTCTGATGAAGTTCAGCGCAGACTTTCTCCACCAAATATTGCCATATCTTATAATCCAGTGGGCTTAAATCTGGACCAGAAGAGGGCCAGTCTTCATGTCCGAAAAGTCAATTCCATGGGTGGTCAACCAGTTTTGCGTGCTTCGTGCCCCATGAGCTGGTGCAGAGTCCTGTTGGAATATCCAATGTCTGTTTTTGAACATTGTTTGAGAAAGAGGTTCCACTGTTTGTTAAGACGGTATTTTGGTACACCTCGGCACTGGTTTTTACACCTTTTTCACAAAAAAATACCTCAGTTAAGCTAGAAGGTGAGACTAAAAGCCAAACCATGAGTGACGAAGGAAAATGTGCTCGTTCAACCCTCGGAATACGCGTGCTGCCTTCTTCGGTGCTGTGAGCATACACTTTTATCATTTTGTTTATTACAACTATCTTTGATGTTAAAAAAATTTCATCCGAAAACAAAATTGCGCGGTATTTTTTTCACCGCCCGATAGATCCCGCGCTTTGTTACGGCGCGCGGTAACAAAGCGCGGGATCTATCCAGCCTAATTTTTTTCAAACGCTCGTTCAAAAAATGTCCGGTCTTCTTACGATAAGCTCGTAGTCCTAGATCTTCATTGATCACTCTTTTGACCGTGGTTCTGCTCAGGCCCATCTGAAGAGCTAAGATTTTTTGTTTACGAACAGGATTTCGTTGGATTTGCGCCTTCACTGCTTTGATGATCGCGGGTGTCCTAACTGTACGAGGGCCGGTCCTCTTACGATCTTCGAAGCTTGAATCTTCACTGAATCGTTTGATAGTGCGATAAACAAATTGTAGGGTTAAGTTCACAGCTCATTAGAGCCACCCGGCACCCGAACCTCACCGCCTCGCCTCGAGCGGTTTGTATGCACTTGTATGGGCCTGCGCTAACTACATCAACTCCGTACCATCACCGGATCGCCTCGCTCGCGAGGTGGCCACGCGCGGACTGCGAGTGCGATGCGGTGCTTTCCACCAACCCTTCATTTTGAACCTTCCTTTCGAATGTGTCAAACGCATTGTTGTTTGTTTTTAAAATGAACAAAGAAAAACTTATAGAAGAAGTTCGGAAGTATAATTTAAGGGTCACTCGTTGATCACGCGAGGTCCACTCGTTGACGACGCGAGGTCCACTCGATGACCACGCGAGGTTCACTGGTGACAACTCTGCGTCCACCCGTGGTCCACCTGTAGACTACGAGTGGACGGCTGGCGACGAGGCGGTGAGGGTCGGGTGCCGGGTGGCTCTAATGAGCTGTGACCCTTATTTTCAATGTTTGTATAATATTCAAAATCTCTTTTGGCGCGTAACCACAGCGGTGCAACGCGATAACCGCTACTCTATCTTCTTTCTTCGACCACTCCATATTTGAAAATGAATGAATTAAGTAATGTCAAAAAAATTAATGTCTTTTTTATATTCGGCAAGCGCAAACGTTATATTTTTAAAATTGGTGAAGTTCATCTAACCAGTATTCAATTTTTTTTAAATAATAAGGTTTTGACAGAACTTATGATCCGACTAAGTATGTTTATTTATAGTATCATAATAAGTATTATATTTATTTATTAATATTAAAAAGTATTTATGATTTTAATATTTATGTAAAACGTTATGTATATGTAAAGATAAACTCAAGAAATATATATTGTAATTCTTCTTCTTTTAAATTATGTCTTCTCTTGATAGAATTCTGTCAGTGTCAAGTCAGTCATGGAAGTGACAAGATAATAATAGTTAAAATAAGAGTTCTCAATTTAATGAGTGGGTTCACAATCTACAACAATAGACGTCACATATTTAAAATACCATCACCAAAGTTGTTAAGTAATTTTGCAGTTTAATATTATTAGTACGAATAAAAGCACATAAAATATTTACGAAGGGAGTATACACTAGGGTCAGCAAAAATTGGAAATTTACTGGACGAGGGATGTAATTAGGCAGGATATCGTAGAGAGAGAGAAAGAAAGTTTAGGACACTCAAAGAACAGATGATTGACAGATCCTTCATTTAGGCCACATTCACAGATTGAGCTATCCCTAATCCTGAGTTTGGCCATGTGTACAGTAGTACAAGCATGACCAAAGCGTAGGCGGCAAACAGTAGAGGTGGCAGCTTTACTAAAGTGGCGATATTGAAAAAACCAGGGTTTAGATGGGATATTAATTTGGACTTTGGAATATTGATTACATTTT